TAATAATAATTTTAATTAATTAATATGTGTCTACGAACTAAATAATAATAACAGTGTAAAGAAAACACTTATTTATTTCGTTCACACGTTTTTAAAATGTAATTTTCAATGTACTCATACAGCAGTACACACACAGCACACAGCGAATAAGTGTAATGGTATAATAGTAAAGTAATGTATTACGTGATAACAGATTATGTCTATTTGTGAAACGTATCATTAAAAATAAAACCGCGAGTGAAATGTATACAATTGATATTTCATAATAATTAGTTTTTCACAATAATCATAATTTTTCTCGGTTTTCGGTGATTTTTTTTTTTCTTCGGTTATTAAGAAAAAATAAATTACACATAGTAAAACCAATACATTCCTTGCAGCGCTCATATGAATCTTAAACACATCCTAAAGCAATCTGGTCACCCGGGACACCGACAAATTTCCCTGTAGGTCATGCAGTGTCTAATGTGGTCATGTGACCAATATGGTCGTTTGTAAAAAAAATGAAATAAAAATAAATTTTAAAAAAGAACTAATACTGAGAACTATTAATACCTATAATCAACGATAAACCATTAACAACGAAAAACGATTCGGAGCGAAATTCGGTTATAAATGCTATGAAAGGCCGAAATATTTACTATTTTCTCAATTCTGACTTCACCATCGTTCTGAAATCAGCAATAGGTATTTATATGATCAAAACAAAACCAATTGGAAATTTGCATGGATCAGAAACTAGATTTGTTCCACGGAATTTTTTACACAACCAATTGTCGTCAAAATGTGATATTTAAATTCTTTTATGAAAAAAAATATTAGATAAAGCTCAATTTTTTCTCAAAGTACGACATTCAAGGAACCTCTTGTTAAATTGTCGAGCATTTCTGTTAGGTCAAACAATTTTATTTACAGAGTACATATACCGAATAAAAATTACGTAAAAAACTCGCAAAATTAAAATGTCAATACATTTCTCAAAAATGGTTAAAATATTTTGAAAATGTTATCACGTCTAGAAAAAGCAAATATAAGTTTTCGGTCAAAATTTCAAGTTTCTACGAATATTTTTAACTACAATTACATTAAAAACACAAAATTAAAAAAAAGTAATATAATTATTGAGACCCTTTGGCAGTTTAAATGTTAATAATATTATAGTTTAACGTGAAAAAGACGTATCTAAGGACTGTATTTTTTTTTTTTTTCAAATAATTATAAATAGGTAACTTATATATAGACCCGCCCAGTGATAAATCAAATATTAAAAACGATACTATTACCCAATGTTCATTACATAAAAACAAATGTTTTACACAACTTACACGACGTACACTATTTAATTGCGTGTTAGTACTAAGCAATAAACATTTTTTTTTTTTTTTTTAATCGAATTTTAATGAACAATTTCGTGTTTTAAGTAATTTGTTATTTATAGTTTTGCAAAGTTTCCGTTTGTCTGTTCGTCAAAAACATATAATATTTAAGTGCCTACACATATACTAAACTATGAAGTACATTGATTTCTACGAAAACGATAAATTCGTGTGGATATTACATGTAAGTACTTCAAATGCGTACTCAGGTATACAGTTAAAATTTTCAAATTACTTTCAGTAGGTACCTAATGATAATTGAATGCATGCATATCGTATTATATTATAGTGATAAAAATAAACGACGATACGATATTACGGAATTAATGAACAATGTACGTGCAATTTTTAATCCGTAAATCGAATATTTTATAAATCGAACGGTAGATAAATTAACTGTACGTTTAAGAGCCACCCGCAGTCGACGAAAAATAACAATCATACATAATGTATTAAATTACGATATTTTAAATTTTTAAATTGAGCATTAAGTCCTAAACAAATTAATTTGTTTTTTTTTTTATTATTATTATTATTTTAAAGTAATTTTTAATTTTTAATTTAACAAAAAACTATTAAAAAAAACTTTATTTAATTTGAAGACTCGATAATTTATAAAATTCGGTGAGATATGGTACTTAACACTAAAGAATTTTGAAAATGTCAAATTCGCAATATTTATTACAACTCATTTTATTTTATTTTTAACCGTTTTTTACATTTTTTTACCATATTGGTGCACCAGGCTACAACTGGTCAATTATTAAACACTTATACTTAATGGTCCATTGTTAATATCTAATGATACTGCGTAGATAATATTATTATTAAAAAACAACCGCATAAAATTGTATAGTCAAAGATTGTCTATTGATACACAAGTTCATTTCATAGTGGCTTTACAAATTGTCTGCGCTTATTACATAAGTGAAGTTATTATTTACTTAAGAATATTTGAAAAGTCATTTAAAAAATGTTTACCTTCGTGCAGTTAACCAGGCCGGGATGGGTGCAGTTGGCATATAAACATACCATACATTGCTAGAGACCCATTGGTAATCGAGAGCTCTCATTGGCTGCATTGCGTTTGTGACAACATTATAGGAATATCAATATTCAATGTTTTCTAATTATATATATATTTTTTTTTTAACTTATTATTTTGATTTATTTAATAAAATATGATTTATTCAGCATCATTTAAATATGAAATCATATTAAATAAACCTCATCTTAAATGTTCAAGCATTTCTGTTAGATCAAACAATTTTATCACAGACTACCTGCCGAATAAAAAATACGGGAAAAATTCGTAAAATAAAAATGTCTATAAATAGCTCAAAAATGGTTCAAATATTTTGACAATTTTACCATGTCTAGAGAAGAAGAAAGAAAATGTTCTGTCCAAATTTCAAGTCTACACAAATAGTTTTAACTGAATTACTTGTGAGTCACAACAAAAAAACAGAATTGAAAATAATAAATTTAGTAAATTGTCCCGTTTTTTCCCTTATTAATTATTATAATGATAATATCTTGGAAAATCGAAAAATTATCTTAAAATAACAACTAGGTTTCTAATAGAGTTAGATTTCAAATAGATTGTTTATGGAAAAAAAATTTGAAAAATTAAAATTAACATTACACAATAAGAATAATTATAATTTGGGAGGGGAGGTGGCTCTGAGCCAGATTATACTTAAGGTGGCCCTGGATAGCTTCGTGCCTGAGTATTATTTTATTTTGTGTGCATTGTGTGCAGTATGTTAGTATGCGACCAGGCCTGATTTTCGAAAACGACTCTTATCATTTTTCGAACAAGTACTGAAGTAAATGGAATGTTTTTAGACGTTATATTGGTTATTGAATATAGAGTATTTTAAATTATATACCGAAAACAACGATAACATTTTTGCAACTGTTGTTATTATTATTGTTGTTAACTAAAAAAAACTATTCTGAGCGGAATTGTAATAGCCGTATTGTTAGTTTTTTTTTTGCTTGTGACCAAGGTAATCCAGAAATCATTCAAAATAAAACCGATGTATAGACATTAATTGTCAGTTTTTAAAATGTTTTAGAAAATACCCGTTGGGGACCTAGACATTTTTTTCAAATTAAATAAAATTGAGCGGAAAATCCGCATTTTACAAGGTACTTTGAAAATAACTTAGAGCACTTTTAATTATCAAAAAAAAATATTTTCTGAAAAAAAAACCTGGTCTTAATAAAAAAAAATCTAATCGATTATTCACTACACTCGAGATTTATGTAAAAATCACGACCAATTTTACATGATTGTTTTTCTCCGTTTATTTTCAATTAGTCTTATATACTTATGTATAATATGATAATAATGAATACTGTTCTTTCGGAAGGATACTTCGCGAGATCAATTAATCAAAATTCTTTTGAAATGTGTACGACGTTGCGAAAAGAGTAAAAACGTTCGTGTCCGGATAGTAACCGAATATTCTGAGGTCACGTCGAAACGAGCCATCCGACAACATCGAGCGTATAGTATATATTAGGTAAGTACCTTATATTATCCGCGAAATAAGGTGTATGGATTTTTTATGTTTTATTTTTTTATTTTTTTTTTATTTCCTAGTTGATGAATCGCCGGACACATTATGATTATACAAATATATTTATTTGCGCGCGCGCGCGTGTGTGTGTGTGTGTATGTTTATGTGTATCGGTACAAGATCGTCAATAATATGCACATAATAAGCAATATATATATATATGACAGGCAACGAAAATAAAACACGAACCCGAAGGTCGTGTCGGACACGATGATATTTAATTGGCCCTGGAGCGGTTAAAACGTCACAATGTACGTATTATACAGATGCATAACGCCGTAATGTACGGCCGCATGTATGTGGAACAGTACATACTACATATTATGCGCGACGAGGAAAACGATTTTAGAACAATTTGGTGAAGAAAATAACCGTCCGAATTACCGTCGTCTGTAGCGATAATATGACTGCAGCAGATACCATTAGAAATACTATGGATTAAATAAGAGAGCGACCAACCATTAAACGGTATCCGCCACGTTTAGTGCAAAATATAATGCATATTTCAAATATTAAATGTTGACGCTCGAATAAAACAAATAAATCCCTGTTCATTACGCGTAATAAAAAATGTAGTTTCGCAGCGCTGCAGAATTTGATAACACGGCAACACTCAGTTTACCATTAGAAAAGTGTCCCCGAGTAGATTACTCTCTTGTTTATTTATATTTATACAGTCCCTCCAGGAACCAAACAACGACTAGTCTCCTTTCGCAACTTGAATTCGAAATAAATATGAGCTGGTATACACAGGACTGACGGTAAACCAACTGATGTCCGACTACTAATCAACGTTTTGTTTTATTCCGAAGAGCATCCGTAATATTATTATTACGAATAACTCGAAAAATCTGTTAAAAATAAAACACGTAGGTACCTTTTATATTATACCAGTTATGATACTTGGTTACATAAAAAAATACATAAATTGTTACAATTTCTAAAGGTACTTATTGTTATCTAATTAAATAATATATAAACCTGATTTTTGATCAGCTGATAATTAAACATTGTTATCAATAAAATGGCAAACACATAGTTGAAAATTACTTTTAATAGTTTATTATACGCACGTGTATTAATTGATTAGACAATGTATAATGCAATGTGCAAAAAGCTTAACAACTACAGTGTAATATATAAAAATAGCAATTTTCAACATTAATGCGATTAATTTATTGATGAATATCTGCAGAGTTTTTGATGTTAGTCTTCATACGGAATGGATTGAAACACGGTATCATCGGTTGATGTAACACCTTGAACTTGTCAGTCTCCAAACATAGCTATGTAATAAAATTCAAAATGCATATAAATTAATTGTAATCTAAGTTCTAATAAATATTTGATGGCGGTCAATATAAAAAAAAAGAATGACCTAACATAAAAATCAATATTGAGAAAAGCCGTAGTTGTTTTAGATTCTGGGTGTAGCGAAGAATGTATTTACTATGATGTTTATTTTCTTTCATTTTTTTTTTTTTTGTTTTTCATACTGTGTACAAAAATTCGACCATAAATCTTGCTCAGATATATACGCGCGGCACCATTTCTGAACGAGAATGTTGTCCAAATGGTACTTTTGAGAGGTCATTTTTTGATTTTCCAAAAACAAATGTATTTAGGGGTATACCTAGAGACCCAAGCCCATTGCTTCCTCGGACTATTTTAATTGAAAAATACCCCAATAAATGGGAAAAATCGGGAAAAAACATGGGAAAATCGGTACAATATTAAACAAATATTATTAAAGAAAATATATAATGCCTATTTATTTTGCCATAATATGACATATATATTGTTGACAAAGCGCTACTAACTGAACTGCGCTCAGAATCGTTTTTTCGTTAGCAATGGTTTATCGTTGCTCACAGATATACATTAAACTACATATAACAGTGGCTGCAACCGACCCCATTATCCTAGGACGTCTTTTTTATTTTTATAGTTGCACATGCTACATAATAATTATTATACAGACTCAAAGCAGAAAACTTACCTGTACATAATAATATGTAAGTAGTTAAAGAGCACAAGGTCAGCTCAGAAGTAAATTATCGTATATATAGTGCGTGTTTAAAATTAAAATAAAATAAAAAAACAATGAAAATTATGAGTAGGTAGCATGTGAATATATATTATTATTACGGAGAACAGAATGATAATATTGTATTATGTTGTATGAATATTTTCAATTTTAAAAAGTTATACAACTCATATTAGCCTATTCTACGGTTATCCAGTAGATAACTGTGGTACCTACCTAATTTAATTGATTAAATTTGTAAAAAAAAGACGGATATACTTCGCACGATGGGTGGACTACTGTTGTAGGTGAGAAGTTGATAAGGTAGAATATAGAGGGGAATTTAATTTATATCTGTACGCGACGATAAACCGTTGCTAACGAAAAACGAAACGGCGCGAAGTTTCTTTTGTACGTGTACATACATTTTTCCCGGTTATTCTTATTTATTATAGAAACCACTTAGAAAATCAAAAAGTCACCTCCCTAAATGTACCAAATTATTAAAATTTCTTTTCAGAAAAGATGCTGCACTTGAAAACCAGAGCAAGATCTTTGGTAGAAAAGTTGTTCAGATTAAAAAAAAAAAAACATTGTAAAACCACTACATTCCTCGTTACGTTCCGAATCTAAAATGTATGCATTATAATAGCAAATGCACAATAATATATCAATATCAATACAGTTATATTCCCATTTATTAGGAATGGTTGGATTATACTATATTTTATTTTATGGTATAAACAGCCATATAGGTTTATACTTAGTATTCTAGGTAGGTGTATTAAAAGTAAAAGAAGTGCATTCGAGAACTTAGATAATCTAAGACCGTGCTCGAGAATACTAAATACAAATACAATTACACAAAATATAAATTTGAAAAAAAAAAAAAAAGCCATAAGAAAAAATTACAATAAACAACGGTTGAAATTAAAATAATTACCGTTCAACATTCAACTCTGTAGAGATAGATACCGTGATCATTTAAAAATTAGTCGGGGTGATTGTTTATAGAATAAGTGTATTATGTGTACAATTTTATTTTGTGAAATGTCTAGAACAAACCCGTATTTGTTTTCAGTATTTAATCGAACATTTTACTAGGTGTCTATGTGTCAAGAAGTGCGTGTTAAACAAAATAAAAATGTTTGCGTACAGTGGAGTGGTAGAAACAGAAAGACGCGGCACAGTCAATAAACGAGATGTTTTCGAAAAATGTAAAACTCGATCGTAAGGAAAACACGGGGTACCGTAAGGCCGCGTGTACATTGGTGAGCGGTGAGCGACGAGCGGCGAGACGAAATGTGTTGGGCTTGGTATAAAATATAAATGCATAATATCGTATTTTCAGTATCGTTTTGGTTTCATACTCCAAATTATAATCACGTCGGTAAACCGTCTATCGATGTTATTGGGCAAACGCACTTTACGGAATACAATTTGTTTAGAAAATAAAACAAAAAGGGGAGCGGGGGAGGTGGTATTCGTCTCATTGATCGCCGCAGATTGGTGTATGGTGAACATCGTCGTCGATACCGTATTCCGATTTACGAATTGTCAATTGACGATTGTAGTTTTGATGTACATCGCTTATATCCATTATCGGGGCCAGAAATAGATAACCGGGACTGTTTTTACATTTGATGATGTACCGTAATAAACACGTCATGAGCGAACGGCGTACGGCGAAATTCTAACGTGTTTGACTTGTGACACGCCGCGCCGCTACCGCTCACCGCTAGCAATCGATGTACACACTCTCATTTGAACTATACGGGTCCGAAATTGTTTTTCCGGCGCGCCGCTGGCCGCTTGCCGATGTACACGCGCGCTCGGCGAATTCTCTAAATGAATGTGTATGGCAAAAGGACAAAGGCGCACAATAACTATTAGGTTTGTACGCGTATTATTGATCTAATTATAGCGTACCGGTGATTTTCACGGAGGATTTTAAGTGAATTTATTAATGTCTGTTCTTTTTTTTCTTTTTTTTTTTCTTCGATTATATAATTGTTCCTGTTTTATTTTAACGTTATTTTCATTCAATCGTCCAACGTTACTCCCAGGGATTTAGGGATGCGGGGGCCCGGGACCCACCCTTAGAAGTAGATATTATTTTTCGATTACACATATTTAATATATTGTTACGAGTGAATTTAGATTATAATATACTAAGATTCGCCGCGAAACAATAAGTATTTAATTAAAAAGTATAATCAGAAAATATTTACATTAAAATATCAACATAATAATAATAATAATTTTAAAAAATGCGATGCGATATAAACAACCCTGAACCCGGCACTAATAATAGAGCGAAAGATATTCGTATTAATTTATTAGTAATTTTTCAGCAGTTTTTAAATTTAGTAAATATTTTAATAATATTAACGTTTACGTGTTACGTTTCCACAATAAACTGCAAACTCTCAATCATCGACGGCGACGCAAAGATTTTATACGACTTGATAGAGTGTACAAATTATTTAAAATACGAAGCACAAATTTCATTAAATCGTTTCGAAATTATTTAAAACATCTACAAAATGCCCAAGTAAGTATTTACATTACAACTATTACTGTTCGATTTTAAATTTATATTTGTAAACTCGCTACTCACTTTTATTAATTTATACGTGTATGACAATATCAACGATTGAACATTTTTATTCAAATTGTGATTTAAATCTATTTTTCAAATATTATATTGTGTTTGATACTTGGATGCAAGTGGAAGCCCGGGGCCCGGCCCCCATCCCTAAATCTAGCCCTGACTATTCCTTATGCTTTAGATAAATAAATATTTTTGACTTTTATGTAGGACAATTAATATTTTTTATTTGAATTGTGTTTAAAAATGGGACTGGAGGTTATATATATATATATATATATATCAAATATATAGGTACATATATATCATATATGTATACATTAAATGTATAGGTAAGTATACTCATTTAAGGTATAAGGTATTAAAATAAAGCTTAAACGATGAATAATTGAAAAAAAATAACAAAAATCAAATTCACTGAAAAATTCACTAGTTCGTGATAGACGGATCACCTTTAGATAAATACAAATTACTTACTCCTACTTCCTCAATTTCAGTTTGAAGCTCAGTTTTCCCGTAGACTTTTAAAGTTTTTATCCTGTTGATGCTAGTCCAGTTTTTCACAATGTTGTACATTGCCATTTTCTCGCCGTCGGACGAGTACTCAATGTCGTCCAACACGCGTCTAAACGTATCGTACAAGTATTTTCTCGTAATTAAATCGGTATTATTCTTTTTCTTCACATGGAAGTCATTAAACATGCGATACAGGAAATAGTACACGTTTCTGAAAAACACGGTTTTAGGAACAAAAATGATATAAAACTAGGAGCGAGATAAGAAGGGTCGATGAAACTATAAGGTTTAATAAGGCATATAAATAAAACTATGGGTACTATGGCATAAATGTACAGTATGAACCCAGTACTTCCGGTCGCTTTGAACTTCACAAAGTTCGTTTGCAGCTTCTGTCATACAAAGAATTTCAAAAAACTGGCTATCCTTTGAATTAGCTATAAAGTTATATCAGTTATAAAAAGACGGACATACTTCGTACGATGGATGCATTCACTATTGGTGGTGAGAAATTGGGAAGGTAGGATACAAAGAGGAATTTAATGTATATCTGTAAGCAACAATAAATCATTACTTACGAAAAATCGATTCTGAGCGGAGTTCATTAGATAATGATGGTTTTTCAACAATATATATATATCATATTATAGTAAAATAATTAAATAGGCATTATATATTTTCTTTAATACAATTTATTTAATATTCCGATTTTCCTGTTTTTCTTCTGTTTTTTCAGTTTTTCACATTTGATAAGAAAACTTCTAAGAAAATATAAAAATCGCCACCTAAAGTTTCTCCCCACACTGACTTCCTTTCAGAAAAGGTGCTACATTTAAAAATCGGAACAAAATTTCTGGTAGAAAAGTTGTCCACAGATAAAAAAAAAATAAATAAATAAATACAAATCTTTGTAAAACCATAAGCTTTTTCACCAGGGGCGTCATTTGGGGGGAACAGGGTGTGCGATTGCACCCTATACTTTTAAAATAGCCCCAATTGGCCTACTTAAATAATGCACCATTTTTTATTTAACTGAAATCAAATTATATTTTTATATTAACAATATTGGTATTTTACTGTCAATAAACAAATATCGTATCAATAGTAGTAATTGAGTATCTAAATAATTTATCATGAATCTATCGTGTATTTTATAATCAATCAGACATACCTAACACCTACAGAATACAGATAGAGATGAGGAACTTATTCACGGTCAAAGTTGGATAACTTTGCGGTAAACGGTAAAAGAAACATCGATTTTTACCAATTACAATGGCATCGAATGAAAGGTTTTTTAATTGATTAAAAATGTAAAATTGTACTCACGCACTTTTATAGGCGATGATTAAAGGCTAAATGATCTTATGGTGCTAAATATTTAAAAAGAAGAAGTAAATAATAACGATATAGAAAAAACTGTAGATGTATTTACTGGACTTGAAAATCGTCAGCACCTATATCCTCTTGTATAAATATAATTTTTTTTTTTTTTTGGAGCCTTTATTAGTGCAAATGTTGCAAATAAAAATATACACATATTGTGTGCTTTTCTTCTTTTTTCGTAAAGCATTTCTTATCTTCAATAATTCATATTTGTATGCATTAATCATTGATTTTCACTGGTAAAGTATCAATTATTTATTATTTTCTAGACTTTAAATAGCTTTTAATATTTAATGCGATTCATAATCTATTGAAACAAAAGAAAAATGATACACATAATAAGTACATAATACTTATATGCATATTTTTATGTGGCCTGGTGAAATATTTATGATGGCCTGCTTGACATCTCGCACACCCCAAAAAAAATACTGAAATGACGCCCTTGTTCTTCGCTCCACTCAGAATCTAAATTTATAAGATGTAGGTACCTATGTCTGCTGAACATTATATAGGAAATGAAAGCGCCACTACTATACGACAATATACAAGTCGTCATATATTTTATTTGTATTTGTATAGCGCGTCGAAACGCCTAGTTTGGTTGCATTTAGTCATGGCAGTTGAAATGCCATATTTTAACCGCTATGTGTGGCGCGGCCCTAATCACTCACAACCCTCCCTCTCAAAAAAGTATTTTTATGATATTTCGGATCGTATTACGTGCTACTTCGGTTGTTTTTCTATACATATTAAATTGGACGAGTTTATTTTATGGATAAATGTATTATAAAACTATATTATCTGTCTATACCTATCCCAAATATGATATACTAAGACAGTGATTCTTAATGTGGACTGTACCGCCCCCCTATAGGAAGCATTTCGGTTCCTCGAGAGAGAGAGCACTAGATTTTAAGGGAGTATTGGAGGGGAAGACGGTGAGCTTTTAAATGCAGAATGATGATAGAAAAATAATAAATTTAAAAGCATTAGCATACAGCGACACGTATCACATGTGAAATTGTGTTACCTATACCCAGGGCGGAATTCACGGTTGGCTAAGATTCCTATAATACTCGGTATACAGACAGTTTTACAAGCCTATAGTTTCACATGAGGGGACTTTAATAGTCACATTTTCTATAATATTAATATGGGCGATATGGGATTTCCTACAAATAATTACATAAAAAATACCTGAAGCTGATGGATTGGTCGTTCTCCTGATCGTGGGTTTCCGGCTCTGTCGAGCACTCGGACATGATCAGAAAAGCTTTGGAAAACAGTTTGAATTTGTTAAACTTGGATTCATCATTCATATAAAAAGAATCTAGGTATTCCATCCACTTGACCATCGCTTCCTTGGGCTTGGTACCGCCGACCAGGAACAATTCGTCCACCAAGTCCAGGTCAACGAACGAAAGCGTATTCATGTCGTAACACTGGACCATCCTACGATAATCAATTTTGAGTTGTGCTAACATGAACTCCACTTGGTGGCGCTTCTTGGTCGGCACTCGTTCCGTCAGTTTTTTCAGATTCTGAATCCCGTACATGTCAATGGCTTCGGACAACTGTAACTTCTCTTCTTCCGTCCATATATTCGAATAGACCTTATTTTTTGACGTTACAGATGCAGGCTACCAAGAAAAATAAAACTATTAAAATTATGTTATTATTATTATTATTATTATTATTATTATGTAACCAAAACGATCCCCCCAAGTACAATAATCAATTACTAAAGACAAAAACACACGTGCAACGTATTCAACTATGTAAAATTGAATCGATAAATGCAAAAAAGGCACACGTTCAATATTTACATTTTTCAAAATACATTAATATCACTGGAAAAAATAATCCATATTAATAACTAGGTAATATTAGTGTTGATATCATCAGCAAATTACTTCGGTCATTTTATGAAATATTATAAAACTCTAAATGCTTAAGGAGTTTTTATCTTTCTTGAAACATTTTAAAATCTGAACATATGTCCTTTCTGCATTTAGCGATTTAATTATTGTTAACTGTGAAAAATCGAAAACTATAATATAGAACCAGATATTATCAATAGGAAATGATATAGTAAATAATAATAACAATAATCATGAATAAATTAAAGAATATTTACCTACTGCACCTAACCCGGCAATGGGAATTTAAAACCCGAGTCCAAAAACGCAAATTTGTATCGGGCTTTCAGCATCATATTATTTTAAAACTTGAAATAAAAGCTCATATGGATAATTTTATCTTAAAATATTACACTAAGAGCACGAAAACCATTAAAAATGATTCTTGATTCCTTCAAGAATATTGTGGTACTGTGGTTACGTTTAATATTAGTATATTAGTATATAGCTATAAACTATACAATTCAAGAATACTAACAATAGAAAATGAATAATTTATTAAGCGGGATGTTTAAAAAAAAATACAACAACAACGACAAATAAATCCAACCATTTTAAAGGCCTTACTTTTTATGTAAGCAAAATATTAATGAAAAGTTTTTTTCTAATCAAAAATAACATCCAAGTCTTTAAAGCGATCCGTTTTCGTCTAGTAGATTACCTATTACTATATTATCATCAAATCTGTACCTTTCAATAAAGATCATCGATTTGCATTTTGTAATGGCTATTTAAGGACAAATTTTTCAGAGAAAACAACTCTAAAAATAAATCTAAATCTGATCCAAGTTGATTAGCATCATCTATTGACTTTACAGACAAATATTATATTTTCAGATCAACAACAAAGAAGCTGCAATTTCGAATGACTTAATATTCAAGCAATTTGATTTTGTTCCAAAGAGTACCCAGGTGTATTGTGTATACTATTGGAAAAAAAATCCAAACAAAATGGCCGAGGACCATGAGAGGAGAATATAGAATATTATAATAGTATAATATTATAATACGAGCAATAAACGCAAGCCGGTACATATAAAAATAGCTTTACTGCAATAAGTGCGTACTTATTACGTTTTGTTTTTTTTTTTTTTGTATTTGTGCGAGCAAAATTTAAAATATTTCACAATCAAACGAATGTGGAAGTAGAGTAATACGTCGTATAAAAAAAAAAAAACAAAATACAAATCAAGCAATACTACTCTTATGATAGCGTAATTCTACACGATGACTAGAACATGACGGAAAAGTAACCATCATCAGTAAAGATTTATCTTTGTTTCTGAGGTACGCCTATTAGTGTGGTTAATACATTATAATACTATAATCCAGAGTGTTTCACGGAGATTTGACATGCTCTGTACAACATTTTAAAAAATTTACTAGACCCTTGCGCTATGAAGACTATTTTATATTTTTTTATTTTTAATTGTTTTTACAAATTCCAAAATAATCATTTTCTAAATAAATATTAAAAACAAAATTTTGATGTTACGTACATTAACTAATGATGAATCGTTAAGTTTCTACAAATTTTTAAAGTTTACAAAAATTATTTTTCACGGAAAAATTGGTGAATAAATTGGTGTTATTTAGAAGTGTCCGCGATTTAAGATGAATCTAAATGACAATGAAAACAATATATATTTTAAATTTTAAAAAAAATATATATAAAATATAATTACAGTGCAAGGTTCTAAGTAAGTATTACAAAAAGTAAACATTTTAAAAATGTTTAACAGAACAAAAGTTATTTCATTTGTCAGGTCTTCGTAGGACATCCTGTAAACCCATACGTATAGCTTCGTGTGGATGTTCGAGTTTTTAAAAACTAATTTATTAAGCAAGTTGCCTATGTGCAATATAAAATTCGAACACTAATAAAACCACAACTGTTATCTGCAGCTGTTTTGCGTAAAACTGATTTTCACACGTTGTTCAATTAAAGAAAAATACTAGGTACCTACCTATATAAATGTGCTACACTATATAATAATATATCAATAATATTATGTTATTATTAGATATTACGTCATGTACAAATATAACTATTAGAGAAATTATCGTTAAATTTTACAAGATACGATTCAGGATAATTAGGACAGATATTCACTAATAATAGGTATCAAAATATGCTGAAAAATAAAAAAATAAAATATAGATGATAAGATAGGCATCATATGTATATATTATAGTCATATTGTTAATAAATCAGGTAGGTAACCCATTACGGCCACAACGTCTCTGAAGTTGCCTCCCCCCCCCCTGACTTTGTCCGATCAATTCGAAAAGTATGTCAATATTTTGCAAACTAATTGCTAATCAATACTTTCTTTTGGCGAGCTTTTGAATGATTTCGCGAGGCCCACGACTTTTTTAATATCATTACCGTTTATATTATTATGAAATTTATGAAATTAAATTAAATAAGGTTTATATGGTTATAACTTCCTAAAAACAACACTATGAGTTTAATTTAAATCATTCGATATTATTTTTTTTTTTTTTAGTTTACCAACTCACTGTTTCATTCTTCCTACAAAGCTTGTTGGTACGTTGAAGACCATTAAAGACCTACTTATCTTATACCTATAGAAAATAATTATCAACAAAACTTTACTTTAGTGTTATGAAATATCAGTTAACCATAATACGACATAACAAATTATTCTACGAGTGTATTAATATCTACATCATATCTAATATACATCAATCAAAATTGAACTTATTTATAACTGGTTCTATTATTACGATTAAGGATAGGTAAGGAGACATTCAGATTTAGATCCGGTTTCTTTGGAAGGATATTTTGATCTGGTTCGCTATTAACTAAACCTCTAAAGATTATGCAGTGTTGAAATACATTATTTACTAAAAAAAAATCTATTACTATATTCATAGTACGATATTTCAAAGTGCTATTTTATAGCGGCCAATAAAAGCATCATATTTGGATACAACACAAGAACTATAGAAACTTTAGTAATACGAGTGATAATAATTTGGTTAGAAAATTTAAATTTTATTCGCCTCCCCCGCCCCCTCGAAAAAAATGGATTTTTAGATTATAAAATCTGAACTTGCAAATTCTAAAAACAGAATATGTGAAATATAAATCCAGTACATATTATTTACCAATCAAGTACAAAGTGCATAGTAAGTATAATATATAAACTAATTAAATCTATATGAGGATCTATTATAAAATATGTAATCAGTGACAATATATTTTGTATACATTACACACATGTATAAAGGGTGTCCTACAGTGTTATCGGTATGCTTATAATTCTGTCAATATTCATTTTTTTTTTCAATCTGGTTTTGTGCAAAGGGGACATATGTAGAGAAAAAATAAATTTTTATTTTCATCCTTTAATTATTAAAAAAAAAATAATAACTTTTTATTCTACCACAATATTTTCAAAATGGCTATTTTTTAAAATATATTATTCTAAACATATAAATGCACCTTACATTCATATCCGATCAATAGTTCCTTAGAAATAGCAATTTTAACTTTCTAGAAAATTGGTGTGAAAACAATTAATTTTCTAGAAAATTGGTGTGAAAACAATTAATTTTCAATAGAATAACACTTTACACAATAAGGAATTATAATCAGCATGTTAATTCCTTATCGGCTATTAAATATTGTTTTCACACCTATTTTATATATATTAAAGCCACTATAACTGAGAAACTAAATTGCATATGAATGTGATACATTAAGATTTTTAGAATAATATATTTTATAAAATGGCTATTTTGAACATTTTAAAAAGTGGAAAAAAAGTAACTTAATTTTTCTCTAAAACGTGTCCTCATGCAAAACCAGATTAAAAAAAAATTAATATAGATAGTTATTAACATAAAGATAACACTGTAGGATACTTTGTATGTAAGCAAACCAAAATAACTAATGATCCATTATAAATATATCAGGTAGTTGTTTACACATCTAAAGTTAATTTCTTAGAATTTGTATTAAAAAAAAAATATTTATAAGACATTTTGAGTTTAAAAAACAAGAAAAATAATAAACCAATAAGCAACATAAATCAGGAAGAGGGTTGATTAAAAACGGCATACAATTTGAATGAATTTATTTTTAATCAAATTGAAATAATTACATTTAAAACCATAATATTATATATAACAAATAAAATTATGATACCTATTATTTTTCTTCGTATTTTTGAGTACAAATATTTATTTAAAATTGGTTAAAAAAATGAATTGTTTTATGTTATGACTTAAGTTTAATATTACAACTGCCACACAAACTATGAAATTATAACTAATTGAAATTAATTTTTGGAAGAACCACCTTTTTATGGAAATTATTCATCATTAAAACAAAATTGTAATAAATTAATAATAATACAAAGTCACCATTACTTGAAAGTACATCAATACATCGAAATATGATTCAATTTGTTTTCTATTTTTCTATTTATATTATACAAAATCCTATTATCGTTTTACAAGAGCATTATCACAATTTACATTCAGAAAATAAGTAAAAAAAAATTTAAATCTAGCAATAAATATCCTTACAAAATTATATTTGTCTTCTAAATGGATAGGTACAACGGTAAAAAAAAAAAAAATATATAATAATAATGGATGAAATAATAATTGTAAAAAAAAAAATACAATATAAAGGAGTTTATTAAGTCATTACTGAGTTTATGAAAAGACATTTGCAATGATTAATAAAGATATACTACAAAAAAAATGGATTATTCCAATGTTTAATGTAAAAATATCATTTACAAATTAAGTAAAAAGAACGACATTTAAAAGTAAAATAGGTTTTAAATCAAATAATTATTATCTAACTGGGTTGTTACAATTCATTCAAAATTAAAATACATAATCCGGTCCCGCCATATCAATGGCCCATCTGAATTTGTCTCTTTGTGTTTTATTGTAAATCTTCTCAATAGGAACATCAAATTTCTTGCACCAGGCTACTGATATACGCGGATCCAAATAGTTCAATTTGGACGTTCCCAAAGCAATTGTCTTATTCTCTTCTTTGTCAGTTTCTTGTACTTCTAATTTGGTTAGCTGACTTTTTAGTCGTTCTAAGGCTTTTTTCTTCTTATCTAACTGTGCCTTGGAATGAACACTACCGTCTTTCACATCCCGTTTGGCCTGTTTATACTGGTCCTTAGCTTCTTTAACCTGTTTTCTCTTAGTTTCAATCTTTTCTTTTAGGTTACCCATGGATTTCTCATGAGTTTTGGGCACAGCCCGTTGATGGTTACATAAAATAGCTACAGCACGGTTTGCTCGATTATACTGCAAAACTTTCTCTGCTTCAGACACATTTGGATCAGTTAATTTTTCTAGTTGTTGCTGTAAAGTCCAAGATGCGTTAAATGTACGGAAAACCTTTGCTGTTAGACCATCCATAAGTTCATGTAAATGTTGATTTAAAATTGAAGTATTTAAACGATCAAATAAATCATCACTACCTTTTTTATTTTCCATGAATATCTTCAAGTTTTTGAAAACTCGTTTTTCTACAGGTACTTCGTTGTAATATCTAATAGAGTCTTTACCAAGGAAATCAAATACAACTACATACTCTTTGTCATTAAATTCTTCGTGTAACTGTATGTGTTCCACACGTAAAGAACAACAACCCACAGTGTCTGCTTGATCTTCATCTTTTTCATTTCCTGCTCTCAACGCCAATTTATCGATGAAATACAAAGCAACTGACCGCTGTCTTACATTCATTTCTCGAGATTTCCAATCACTAATATAGTTTTCCCTAATTTTATCAATAGATTTTGCTAATCTTCTAGCAGTCTCATATTTTTGCCAATCTTTTTCACCCTTGAGTTTAGAAGAGGGATTTAACATAACATACTTAACTTGTGATTGAACATTTTCTATCCAACTACAAAGCCATGTAACACTGTGGTCATGTCTCACTTCTTTCCATTTATGACCTGGAGGAGGTTTTGGTATATTAGAATCTTTGCTACAGTTGATTAAAACATCCTCTGGTAATACTCGTTTTTTCAACATACCCATTTTAGGATGTTCACCCCGCCCCCTAAATAACCCAGGTGGTTCTATTTTAAAATTTCCAATTTTCTCTTTATGGCCATCAATAGTACAGAATCCATACTCTTTTTGCAGTGCTTCATTTTCTTCTTTGATTTTCTTTTTTTCTTCTTTACTCATAGCTTTACGTTCTTCCGTCTTTTTAGTGAAATACACACTAATTTCTTTAAAATTACATAGTGAAAGATCAGTTATTAATTCTTTTTCTTCGGCTGTCATACTTTTACGCCAGTCTTTAAAAAAGTTATTGTTAAACACTTTTTTTGTTGTATAATCATGGTCAAGCATTTTTGCATAAAATGTTGCTATTTCTTCTGCTGATTCAGAAAGAACAACATGTTTACCATTGTAATAAAACTTTACACTTTTTGGTAAAGGTTCATATTCTGGGGCAAATATAGGCCCTTTATGTTCCAAAAATTTCCATTTAACTCCATCGTCTTTCTTCTCTTCTTCCCACCATTTCCATACTTCTTGTTGTTCTTCTTCCTTTTTTTTCTTAGTTGGAGTTTTATTAACAGTATCTTTTTGTGATGTATTATTTTCTTTTTTTACCTTATGTTTAGAATCTTTAGATGAATGATTCCTATCTTTCTCTTTATGCTTACTTTTATGTTCTTTATCTTTTTTATGTTTTTTATGACTGCTGTTATGTTCTTTTTTAACATGCTTTGTTCGGGCGCTCAGAGGAACATCATCTTCACTACTAGCAGAGTGTTTTCTTTTTCTATTAGACAAAGGTACATCATCATCAGATTCAGATGCCATTTCTTGTTTAACTGAATATTCATCATCATCACTCTGTTTCCTCTTATGGCTGGTATAATCATCATTGTCTGAATAATTTTCTTCTTTAATGCTATGATTTGCTTTGTATTCCTTCTTAATTTGGGAATGATAGCCTGAATCATAAGAAGGCTCATCTTTGTATTCTCGTTTTATCTCTTTTTTACTGTGACCATTTTTTTTGTGTTCCTGTAGAAAACAAAAATATAAAAATTAGAATAATATTAAAGAAATGATATAGGCCCCTTTTATCATTATAATTTATTACCAAACCAAAATTGTACATTATGTAAAAAAAAATTATTACCATAACTTATAAAGTAAGTATAAAATAAAGAAGAATATAAAGTTTATAACCAATAATTGTTAAATAGTGATAAACAAAAAAAGGCCTTGTGTACATTATTTAAAAATGTTACCTTTGGTTTATATTAAACTCTCACGTACACCTATTCAACTTGATCGGTGTACAACTGAGTTATGAATCGCTCGTAAAAAAAAAATGAGAAAATTGTCTGTTGATGTTGAGAAACAAAAATAAATATAAACAAATATTTAAATAACCGAACACTTGTGATGATTAAAACACTAACTGATAACTGATTATAAAAAAAATATTTTAGGTCACACAAATACTATAGATACAATAAAATGAATAACATTAGGTAATAGTTGTTGAATAGGCGTATATGGAATTTTAATTAAATTATTAATTTTTTTTAGGTTGAATATTTCACTTAAAGTTTCAAAATTAAAACCTAATGTATTAGTATTAGCATGTGCCTACCTATAATTATATTTGATATGTTACCAAGTCTTAATACATCTACTTCATAAAAAAACACTTACAATGAAATGCATTTTAAATCAGTATAATATTTAAATTAATACCATATCAATTATGATAATAATAATTAATTTTAATTAATTAGTTTTAATAATTAAGATTTTAACTAAAATTAAATTAAATGTGGGATGAGAACAAAATATATATCAACAATAATAAAAAACATAAAAATGTGTATTTATTATTCATTTTAAATGACACTAAACTTGTATACAATTTTGGTGCACTTAAATTTAAAAAAAAAAAATAATTTTATTAGGTATAAAAGATTTGTCTACTACATTACTACTAATATACAAGTAATTAATGGTACAAAATAGGAATAAAAAGGTGAAAATAATATCTAGGAACACATTAACACTAATTTGTGCCGACTAGAAAATATTGATTGATAAGTTGAGATCTACATATTAATAAACTTAACATTTTTAATTAAACTAGTAAGAAATTATAAATCACTCCAACTTGTAATAATCATTAATAATTTGGTTTACATTAGAAAAAACATCTTTAAAATCATTCATATTTGTGTTATATTGAATATAATGATGAACAAAGGCTTTATGGGAATAAGCTCGATTAGCTAATTTTACTACAGAATTTAAGGCAGAAACATTAGTAGAATTATTTGATAAAACACTCAAGTACTTGGAACCCAAAAAATGTCTTTTTTGAAATAACTGTAAATACTTATTTGCCTCCAAACTATGTTTAGAAAAAGACAAAGTATTCAACTTCCCAGTAAAATTAAGTTTACCGGTGCCATCCAAAGTATTTCCTCTATAAATTATAAAATGTCCAAGTGATACACAAGGTGATAAATTCAAAGACCGTATAGTTTGATTAATAATTGCTTCCCATCTCGGAGTAGATTCATATGAAGAATATTCTCTTCTGTAATTTGGAGAAGACATTAATTTTAAAAATTTATATTTTTGATTATTTTGTACAAGTGACAGAAAATAAGGAAACGTTTGATTTTCTATAGGTTGCAGAACAGATATCAATTGTTTGCAGCCTATTTGATTAAGGTCATCGAATGCGACTTTGACTTCAGGATGGCCCGCTTGACATACTTCATGCAAAACAGAATTTTCAAATAAAAAAATACATTCTGATACGCCGTACAACTTGTTAATAGTAAATGAAGTATTATAATTTTGGATAGCATCTTTAGATTGATAAGGCATTATAAAAACTATAATAAATACAATTTTTGGATAATCATGTTTTAATTTTTCAAGTATAAAACATGCAGATCCAGCACAACCACCAGAAGGTGACAAAATTATTAAAAAATATTCAATTTTATCAATTTTATTTATTTCAAGTCTTAATCTACTTGAAACATCTTCAAACATTTCAGGACCTTTAATATAATAACAGTATGACCAATTATTTGTGGAGCCTTCAATGTGATTAAATCCCAATGCATTTTTTCCAAATCCCCAATGACAATTCTTTGATTGATTTAAAATATCACCAATATTTGGATCTCCAATATCTACTAAAATAGACCTGGGTTCCAAATAACCACTAGATTTTAATTCAAAAAAGTTTGATTCGCTTAAATTTTTGTACTCTTGATTATGTGTTTCAGTAAGTATAGGATCAGTAATAATATTGTCGTTAAAAATGGTAGAATAGAAATTGTGGGTAAAGTGTATACCACAAGTACCAAAACTAATGGTTAGTATGGACATATTTACATTAAATAAGTTAAAATATAAATAAAAAAACAAAAAATTAAAACAATATTTTAGTAACTAACCCTATCACGCTTCTTTGATTTTTCAGATTTTCTATCCGAGGATTCTCGATCTTCTGTAACAAACGAATAAAATATAAAATTAAATTCACATAAAGCAAAACAAAATAGAAATAGTACTTATATTTTACAAGTAAAAAAATTCATACCCACAATTATTTAAATACTTACAATTTTATGAATTTTCTACAAAAACTAATTTACATAGATAGGTAACTAACTTAATTTAATATTTATAATAATTGTAAGTTGATAAATAAAAATATTCATTGATATTACAGTAAAACTTCCATGTTATTGTCACTGAAGGGACCAGAAATAATGACCGTTATTTAGAGAATTCCTATAGAGACAACAGCAACCATTAATTTTAAGACTTTCCATAGTTTATGGTTTTTAGGGAGGGAAATTGAGTCTGGTGCCGCTGAAGCTGTCACAGCCTGTCAAACACGGCACTCAAAAAGTGAGTATTCTTTTGTGGAAAACTATGAAAATACAAGAAACATTAGGATATTATACTTGCATAAACTTGTCTCTATATAGGTATTTAGATATAATCTAAATAGCCCATATACATTGCTATAAAAATTACACCATACAGAACTTAAAAAAAAATTCAAATGATTTTGTTACAATGTTCCACTGAACTTTACTAACTGTTAATTAAACTAAAATACAGTGGAACTACCACTATTGTAGCTTGAAAATAGTTAATAAAATGATGATAATATTTTAAAAATGACCCATAGATAGGTAGTTTTTAATTGAAATTATATTAGGGTGCTAATATCCAATATTTGTATAATTAATTATAAAAATTTATAAACATAAATTCATACAGTACAAGCAGATTAATATTTTATTTTAGTTCATTATATAAGTTTATCAACTGGTAGTGGTTAGACAATTTCTATAATTTGTAGGTACCTGTCTAAATTACTTCACTTTTTAAATATTTTTATCTGGTTTAGAAAACTCTTATATTTTTTAATATTGAATAATTGAACAAAAAAGAGGACTTTTTGATTATATATTTTACAACATGCTATAATATGATTTTATACAGGTCTAAGATATGCCTATTTATCTTTTTTATTAAATTTTTTTAAGTGACTATAAATTAAATCACCTAGAACCTTGCTTATAACAATATAACTTAATGGTAAAAGATTATTTTTAGTCTATATTTAGTATATAGTATTTATCCTGCCATAAGTCATACCTACTACTAAGTATTTACAAAATGTAATTTTAACATAGGTATTATATTTACAATGAGAACTAGCAATTAATTATACAAAATATGGAATAAAATTACTAAACATAACTGCTCTAGGTATTAACTATTAATAACAAATATTTATTCTATTTTATAGATAATACTGATAAGGGAGCTCAACACAGAAAGAATTTGTCTTAGCACAATACTGATGTTTGAATAGGAATGAATTTTAAGAAACTTTAGTAAACTTTTTGACAAAAACATTTAATTTAGGTTGAGTACTTACATAATCTTCTATTCTACTATAGGGATGCCATTCGTCCCAAATTATACGGGAACATCCAGTAATTCGGATGTAATAACAAGATGTAATATCATAAAAATGTCCCATATAATGAAACTCACGTGCCGTATGTTCGGTAAATTATAATTAAACATTGTTTTGTATTTAAATATATTATAATATTCAAAACGTGTTTTCAAATAATAAAATGTCAAGAATGAAACATTTCTTAACCACTGATAATATAAATGCTACGTTCCCACCACTTACGAGTACGGTAATCGATTCGGAAACCAGTTCTAACATCAATACCACAGGTCCACATTGTGAACTACTCCGCACTTGTTTCTTATCAGTTATTCAGTTATCAGCATCAATAGTTAATACTGTCATTTGATAGATAATTATTTTAAAAAATTAATACTGCGTTTCTGACGTTTCTGTTCTTCACCTATATTTTGTTTATTATAAATTATGCCGAACCATAAAAGAAAGTGCATTTTCAATGAACATTCTCAAAAAGAATATGAGTTTTTAAAAATATGTTTGAAGCCAAGAAATATCGACAAAATTTAATGCATCAAATATGGAGCAATTTTTAGTATTGAACAAAAAGGAAAATCTGACATAACTCATCACATTAATTTATACTAAACGCCATGGGCTTACTGTTGAATCAGAAAAAGGTAATTCAGTTACCAATTATTTTACAAAAATAATTGGTAATAAATCATTGTACGCAAAAAAAAGGAACGTGGGCTTTTCACCTATGCCAGCATAACCATAGTTTAATATCTATAGACTGTAGGTGACAATTGATAACTAAAATGTACTACAAGATGTATTTGTTGTACACATTTTAGTCGTAATAAAACTAAAGCAGTAATTGTCAATGTCTTATATCCATACGCAGTTGAAATATTGAAAACCAAATTGAATAATGCAAATTTTGTTTCAAATTTGATAGATTATTCTAATATTATAGATTTAAAAATGGTTCATTTATTAGTCAGATATTTTTCTCCGGAAAGTGGCTTGCAAACAATTATTCATGAATTCACCGATTTGCCTGGGAAAACAGCAGAACAGTAAACAAATTATGTTCGGACATTATTATAAACTTGGAAAACTGATAAAAAAAAAAAAAAAAAATTATTGCCCTATTAACGGATAACAACAATACCAATTTCGATGGGGTTCAAAGGTGGAGAAAAAATAATCTTTTTAATAAACTCAAAAATAATTTTGGGCACAACTTAATAGGTATTGAATGTTCTACGTTATAGTTTTGTGTCATATTTTTTATTTTGAAATCTGGCATCCCCAATCTACTTGCAAATGCATGGAAATATGTAAAACAGAAATACAATACTCAGATTACTCTTATCATGAGTTTTTCTAAATTGTTTCAAAACGAATCATTGTCAGTATTTATATCAAAAGTACCAATATCTATCTAACTATACTTAATGAGGCTTGACAATTCTTTATTATTAGTTTAATTGTTTTTTTAATAATAGTAGGGCCATCACTCTCAATTGTTAACATATTTATCAAAGATGTCTAATGAAAATTATGATGATGATTAATAATATCAGTGTGTAAAGATGGAAACATAAGTAATCTAAATAATAATCAGATTTGGAACGTATAATACAGTAATGTATAAAAAAAACGTATTATACATATATATGAAACATATGAAATTATTAGTTGTACACGTTTTATACTGTATACAATTGTTTTGGCTGTAATTGAACAGAAATTATCAAATAAAATAATTGTCAATTGAATTTAATCATCATTTTATGTATCTTAAATTAATTGCTAAGTTCGTATTTATCCTTTATTAATAACTACATTAATATTTATAATACCTACTACATAATATTATTTACAATAATTTAGGAAAATTCACCAAGTTGATGTGATTTGTTAATTTGTTTTATTAATTTATAAGTTTTAACATTTATTAAAATTTAAAATGTACAATATTATTCACTATTGTACTAAACTTAAAAAAAAAAATAATAATAATATCTTAGCCTGTATAAAGTCGATACGTTTTATACGTGGGGTATTATACGGGTAATCTATAAAACGTTTCACTCGCGTATATTACCAACCCTGGTAATAATGCGCCCGATTCACAAAGGAAACACTATGAATTATAGGGGAATAACTAAATAGGTACAGATTTATGGAAAAAATAAAAAAGCATTTTAAGAAAATTAATAATAAGTAATTATTATTTTGAAGTACTTATGTTTTAGTGACTTTTGCTGAAAAATGGACTTTTAATGAGTTACAAAAAAATGACAGTGGCAACCCTGCAATAAAGTTAAAAGAACCTACACATTTTTCTTGGGTTGCTAGAGCGACCATCAAGTCAAAAACTCTTCGTTACTGAACGGCGGCCCAGAATCGACTCGACAACAATTTCCGAGCGCATCACTGATACGTAATGTAAGTATTGATGATTGATAGCATTAAAAAATTGGTTTAAAAGGTACCCCTCAACCCATTGATGTGCCCAATGTCCTGCGCGCAGTATTAGTCATAATTATCGTATATATTTTTAGAATTGTTTTTCCCCGATCGGTTGTTATCTGCTACGTGACGGCGAGCGTACCAAAACTGGTTTTATTATTATAAAAACGATTTTTGTAAAAAGGCGTATTTTTTCAGTCACCGTGGCGTTATTTTTAGAGTAAATTGAAATGTTTTGTTTATCTACAATTTGCACACGCTTTTATATAAACTATTATTTAGTTTTAGCGCGTGGTAAACATGTTGTACCAACTGACATACAATTTTTTTTTTTTTTTGTTATGAAAATATTATTAATTTCCCAGGAGCGAAAGTACTTGTTAGTAGGATTAATCCAGTAAACAGGAATTTAAAAAAAAAAAACATTTTTAACCTTGGGCGTAAATAGGTTAAATAGATAAGTATATAATATGTAACCTAACTGAAATTAGAAAAGAAAGTGAACCGAATATCGGGATCGAGTCAACCGATAGAAATATTCCTATTAAATAAGTGCAAGTTTACAGCGTGATTAAAATAGGTAGCTTCGGGAATAATCTATTATTTGAGGGTTTATACAGCGTATTCTTGCGATCCGTCCACTCGTGGGAAACATAAATGAAATACGTTTCAGTGATAATCCGGAACTGCCAATGTTTGTACATATACCTATGTGTACGAAACAGATATGGACAATGAATCATTTCTAATGTACGACAAATCTTAAGTGGAAATTGCACTACTATTATTACCGAGACTTTCTCCGCGAGCACCCTGCCGTTTCGCAACATAAGAACGCACGAAAATTTACATAACCTATAAAACAAAACGGTTTTTTCTCTCTCTCTTCGCGATTAGCCTATAAAACCTAAGGTCGGGCCAGTACGGTTATTTTCCGGTACGGAAGATGCGACCGGCGAAAGGGTTAACGAGAACGGGGAATACACGGAGAGATCGAAACGCGGCGGGGGACGCGAAATCGGCTCTGGCGTTTTCGGTCCAATATCAGCGATTGGGGTGAGTACGGTCGGCTCGTAACGACGTCCCTAGCTCGTAACGACGTCCCTAACTCGTAACGACGTCCCTAACTCGTAACGCGACTAAAATCACTGTCCTGAATTACGCGGTTACTTTTTCGAAAAACAACGATCTGAAAATAATAATTACCGGCCATGATCGCCGTTCACGTGGAATCGGGATGCGCGTAACGTCGACGAGTGTACGTGGTGGATGACGACGAATGCTGCCACTGCGCCGCTGTTGAGTGCGATTTGTCGCCAGTGAGACGACGTCGTGGTGCCGTTGCAGCGGACTGTGTAGTGCGGTTTGCGGCGGCCGTCGTCGGTGTGGCGCGACGCGTCCTTGCGACGGGACGGGCTCGCGAACGGGCGAATTATGGAAACGCGTTAACCGGCAGCGAAATACGGTCGCGCGGTGTCGACTGAACAGAGTACAGACACCCGTCGGCGGCGCGGCGACTGGCGTGTGGTGGTAATTATTTTTTTTTTTTTTTTCTCTATATTATATAAATAGGTGTATATATAGTGGTAACGATACGTGCGGAAGAGTGGCGCGTTTACGGAATTACGACGACGATAAAAGGCTGCAAAAACGACGCGGTGGTTCGAGGCTACGGCGGCGGTGTGCACTGCGGATTCCGTTGGTTTTGTCGGACGGCTGCGGCGGCGGCCAAACGCACAGACATGTACTACGGATTAGGTATCGGTTGTGAATATAATTCGTGTGTGTAGAAAAAAATAAATAAAATTACGAATTTCAGTGACGACGACGGGCCAACACCGCGCCTGACGGTACAACGGTTCGGTAATTGATTAATGGCCGGATTAATTTCAATATTATCGCCGAGTGTGTCGTACCTGACGGAGCGGAGCGGCGGTCGTTGGACAAGCGGGAGTTTGTGCGTGCACCACGGAATCGGACTTGGGGACGAAAGTTTGTCGCGTACACACCACGCCACGAGTCGATGTTCTTTACAGCGACAGTATGAAAGCCACGACGATTTACCGTGGCGGCGTCGACAGCCAGAGAGAGAAAGAGTACGAAGAGCGTGCGAGCAATGGTGAGACACGACGTAACGTACGCACGCACACTACAGCCGGGCGTCAGCGGACGAGTGCATTGACTTTTTTTGTTCGTTCATTCGGCGCGGCAACGTCGCGTTGCGTGACGGACGTTGCCAAAACTCTCGAATCCGGCCGCCGCGGCCGGGATTTCGTACCTATTTGAATTTAAGGCGCGAGAACCGAGCGACGGAGTTTTTCGCGAAAATCCGAAAAACACTCTCGCGATAGTTTTTTTCGGCTAAGGACAATGCTATCGCGGACGCCGACGCGACGGTCGATAATTTTACAAACGTCTTTTCACCGAAACATTTTTTCGTTCGATCCAATCCGTGACGTTACCGTTATCTATACATGTTTACTGTTTTATGTTATCAGCACTAAAATTATATTAATAACGATATTTGTACGATTTTGTCTTTTGGTAAATACATATTATTTTAATTATTTGTTCGTTATAATGGAAACAGTAAAAGTATAATTCTCAACATATGGCGCAGTTAAAAATAACATTATTTCTAGTAGTAGTAGTTCCTTTTAGAGTTTTTTTTTTTTTTTTCTAGACGTATGTTTTTAATCCTAAGGTACCCATTGAAACCGGATACAGAATTATACTTTGAATCTCAAATTTTACATTTAAATATTTTAATAACTAATCAATAGTAATTAAATAGAAAAATAAATAAAATAATTTGCATTTAGTAAAACCAAGGTGATTCAAAACTTGGGTAAAACAAAATCATATTAATATATTATATTGTTATCAATATTACTGTAGTGTAATAAATCATATTAATATATTATATTGTTATCAATATTACTGTAGTGCTGATACATAGAGTAATATAATTTATTATTAGTGCTTGATAATATCACAGATTATAAGACAATATTAACACAATATAATCTGTGGTAATATCGTGTGGACTTCAAACCAAATCGCCTGCATGAAAAAACGTCACAAAATGAGACGCAAGATTAAACGGTCACAGACTGCGCTGCGTACGCTACTTTTTCCCGCGTATTATAGGGATTATTCATGTTTTTTGTGTTTTTTTTTTTGAAAAATATATACATTATTTCGAACCATGACCCATTTCAAATTGTATAGCTCGTAAAAATACATATTCATACTTGTACATATGTGTATATGTCATAAACATACCCTACGATGCGTGGTGTTACTTCACGGCAACAATCGACCAAAATTGTCACAATAAATTACCCATCTACGTGAGATAACATTAATCAACCGTAATCGAACAGGAATATCATAATATTATACTATATGGTTTTCATTTAAATCGGTAGATTTCAGCATATAATTGAAATTATTAAATGATATATCAATGACTCTGTGTGTATACATTTGACATGGGAATTTCCCTACGATTCATAAAAAATAAATGCACCTTTAAACTGTTCGTGTTTAAAAAAGCAAATAGATAATTCAATTTTTTTTTTTTTCTTTAAAACGATAAAATACGGACTCGTTGCCACACGCGACAGTGCATTTTTAGCATTGTATGCGTGCCCGTATTGAATTCCAACGTACCTTGTCTACATTTTGGTAATATTTAATTAGTAGGTAACTATAAATATTAAATAGTTTCATTATAGACTGAAAAAGAAAAATCACGCTTTGTATGGTTAATAGTATCCGTTTTAATATAATGAAAACTAAATTAAATAATATTTCGATTTAACTATCATAAGTTTAACATAGATATCTGGTATTGTGCTAAATATAGCAATAGCCATAATTCATGAAGACTAGATTATTGTAGTAGGTATAAAGAAAAATAATATATTTATAAAATATACATGTATGAATGAGAAATTTTACGAGCCGTAGAATTTATGATGGGTTATTATTCGAAATAATGTACATATGTTCCAAAAAACATGAAAAATCGTTATACTTCGCGGGTTGAAGTAGCAGCCCTAGCGTACGCACCATAGCCTGTAGCCGTTTGATCACGCGACTCATTTCGGGACGTTATCAGAATCGAAGTTTGGTCCATAGAGTAATATTATAGTTTACAGTAAGGTTGATTAATCCACCTTGGTTTATAGATAATTTATATTATTATTTATAAATCATGTCCTTATTCTTGTCCAAGATGTATTGATACACCTTGTTCTAGTCTTATATTAGAGATATCTCTAATCTTCATGATTATCATATATGATATAGGAATTCTCATATTGTCTATAATGATTATAGTCTTATTATTGTGCTGATAACGCAGAATAGTATCACAGAAACATGTATAGATAACAGTGACGTCACGGATATGGATCCATAGCTCTTAAACTAGTAAACTGGCCTTGCCTATAGAGTAACTGAGATGGTAACCGGTCAGGCATACTACAGTGGTGTGCAGTATAATCACATCGGTATTGTCATTGTATGTGTAGTACAATGAACAAAAATACCACGTAAAACTCACAAGTCACACGCGAAGAGCGCCCTCTATCTATGACCGTTATTCGTGAACAAAAGGCTCGTCTATCAGCATAAGGTATGATATATGTATGGATCAGACATTCAGACGTATATCTTAATTCGTGAATCATACGAACAATTTCCCAGAAAATAGGCATTCGTATTTTACGACGATTTCAATAAAATAATAAATGATAAAAAAAACAACGAAAAAATAGTAAATAATACGTTTTATTCGTTTAGATAAATGTTTTCTAGAAAAAGTTGTGTTTGAAAAAATTATGCGATTTGTAAATAGATCAACAGTACATTATTATTTCTAAACTTAGAATGAGGTTTCATTTTTAAGTCAGTAGGAAAATGTGTATAACGTCGGTGACGTCATGACGCGCTCAAATATTGAAAAAACTGCGATCGTGTGGTTCCATGATTGGATTTTAAAGAATTAAATTCGAACAAACAAATAGATATTAAACCTATTATTTTTACAAAAAATCGAACAACATGATGTGAAAATGTTAACAAAATCTCAAGGTTTTATTTGGATCTAATATTTGCACAGGGTTTGGCACCTTGATCCACAACCGAGTTCTATATTCACTACAATTATAATAATCGCCACTACTTATTATTTTAATATTAATGTTATCCTACTGTATTTATATGAATGTGTTTTCTATTAATGTAAAAACAAAAATATATAACCCACAGAGGAATCTAGGTCAAAATATCCAAATTCGAAAATTTGCATAAACGTTTTCAGAAAATGTTGTACCTATAGTCAGTCCCGCGGGAGGCCGGACCGCTTATGCGCATGTATAGGTAATGTTAAAACGATTTTGAGCGTTGACAGCGGGTGGCATATCATTGTTCCGTACGTGAGCTCGGCACCTGTATTAAAATCGAGCCCTACGATTGGCTTATTTGAATTGCACCGCCAAATATTTTATACAATTTATATAGATAACATATAGTACAAGGTTTACGGATAATAATTTTAATAAATTAATTATTATCCTTGTACCTTGCGTGCAGTATATATTAGAATTATTTGAATGCAATTTATATAGCTTAAAAATAACCCTCGATTTGTTGTGCAAAACCACGTCGTGTAGGTAATAGTCGGGGACGGATTGGGCCATCGGGAAATTCCCGATGGGCTAATAGATTACAGATTGTAATTTATTTTTTTAATAATAATAAAAAAAAAGTCGACTGCAGCAACAACCACGGGTTTTAAAATGATCTTTATTTATTTATTTTTTTATACTGATAACGATAATAACAGTGGAAATTAATATAATATAATCAAATTCCGTAATAATATTTTATGTTGGATGTAGATAAATGTGTATAATAAAAATAATAGCATGGGTTGTATTCCGAGCGGCAACGTAGAATGAGACCGGTGGCGGGTGACGACTTTTCACAGTACATGCGTGTCTGGATGATAAGATTATTTTTATTTATGATTTAGTTTATTTGTATGTAATATTATTATTAAGTATATAAGCACAAATTACTGTCTAATCGCTAGTGGCTTCCATTAAATTTCTAATTAAATTTCTCATTCGTTCACGCCCCACACGCATTTGACGATCGTCGTATTTTGCCGTTTGGTATGTAGTGTACCTACAATCCAGAATATTACTTGTGCTTTTTGATTCTGAGTGGAACGAAGAAGCTTATGGTTTTACAAAGATATTTATTTTTTTTTTTTTTTTTTATATCTGTGAACAACTTCTTTATCAGAAATCTTGCTCCGATTTACAATGACAGCACTTTTTTTAAAAGGAAATCTGATTGAATAGGTAATTTAAAAATGTCATTTATCGATTTTTTTAGGATTGTTCTCATCAAATGTGAAAAACCGAAAGAAACGAAGGAAATACGAAAAAATGTACGAAATATAATAGTAAAATATTAAGATTTTTTTTTCTGTGGATTACTTTTCTACCAGCAATTTTGCTCTGATTTACACTTATATATATAGGATTCACACTTTTTCTAAAAGGAAATCTAAGGGGAAGTAAATTTTTAATTTTCCCCAAGAGTTTTCCCAATAATTTGGAAAATCGGAAAAAACGGGAAAATATTTAATAGTTTGATTTTGCTTTTTCTAATCATAATAGAATCGCTTAAGCTTTATTTTAAAACCATTTTTAATTTGTTATCCCTACTTCATATAGATACCTTAAATAAGTACATACTTTTGATTTTTAAATAGGAATCTCCTTCCCTTGTTAACACAGATTTGAATAGAGAATATTTTTCTAGAAATTTTGATATGCATAACACTAATATCAGATTTATCGTTTATGAGTTATAAGTTATAACAGTTTAAAGTTTAGACCGGAGGAGTAAGGAAGGGCAATAAATTTCCTATCTATAACCCTGCTTTAAACGATTCCATAATGATTAGAAAAAACAGAAATCAAATTCACTTAAAATCCTTTGAGATAAATGCAGATGGTTCATGAAAAAAAAAATCACTCTGTATGTATAACAATTTATATTCTGTATTATTAATTCAATTAATATACTATAATTTACATAAATGTAAATGTAATGTAAAATAATGTAAAATTTTAATTGACTAAAAAAATTGATTTGGTCAACAGGGTATACTTGCAGGTTGCCTTCACGCCCCCTCCAAAATATGTGGTGCTGCATATAAATTTTCTCGGGCCGGCCTAAAGTCCCAATCCGTCCCTGGTAATAGAGAAGAGTGAAAAAGCATTTTGGGTGCACCTTGAGACCTGTCGCGGGGTCACTCGCTCAGACTGTTTTAATCGAAAATAACCCTACGATTCGTTGTGTAAAACCACGTCGGGTAGGTAACGTACAGGGAAAAAAAAAATCGATTGTGACCGAGCCTGGGGGCAAAATAAAAATGTTTAAATCACATACGGAAATTAAACGCGTGTTTTTTTTTTTTGTACAAAAAATAGTGCAAAAATCGAGAACGGTTCGGAACGGTATCGAACTCGATACACACGGATCCTACTAGTAACGCGTTACCCAATGCGCCGCGGTAAATTCTGATAATATAATTGAGTATTTACTAAAACCGTGATAACCGGCTACAAAAATATTCGACGGCATGTTCAAATAAACCAATTGTAGAGCTTGATTTTAATGCAGGCGCCGAGCTCACGTACAAAATGTTGCTTATGTGCAGGCGGGCGATCACCGAGCATGGTCGTGGCGTGGGGATGCGCGGCAGCAACCCGATCTCTCGTGGGCCAGACCATAGTCTAGAAATTTACGCCGTTGAATTATTTTACATTTTAACTTAAATTTTATTTTATATTATTCGAGTAGCTATATCGATTTATCAAAATGTTTGTGCTTATTTATTAGAAATATTTGTCTACGTTTTTAAATTTGGATAGTTTGTCCGTGGATATTTTGAATGGTTATCAACCCATAGGTAATATAAAAGTTTAATACCAATTACCTACAATTAAATATCCAGGTGTCTGAAATGAAAATCATTTACATTTCGCATACAATGTTCATCAAAAATTTTACTTGTTGGTAAAAAAAAATTTATTTGAGTGTAATGTTGTAATTTATTTTCATAAGGATTTTATGTTCACATTTATCATAAAATTCATTAAAAAACAATTGTAATTTATTTGGTGGTGATGAATTTATACAATTTTCAAATCAAATATATCAAAAAATGTTGAACAGAACCTTTAACTAAATCGTTTTTCGTTTGCGATAATTGATCATTGTACACAGTTTATAAACTAAATTACCTTACATAGTAATCTAACTACTTTGTCAACAACCTATCTAGAATAATGTAAAAGTTTAATTTATTTGACAAAATTAAATGAATTTGTAGGTACTTTAGTACCTGTGATGGACGTGTGTTTATACTTTATAAAATTATTATAAATATGGCCAGTTCATATTTTAATATTTTTCAATTATAATGTAAACCTATTTAAAAATGATTATCACATTCTAAATATGATAAGAAAATGAAAAATGCACATAATGCAACTAAAACTTCTTTAGTCTTATATTGTCACAGTCCTGACATTAAATATTTGAAAATACTTCAGTTGTAATATTTCATGTACTTATAAATTTAATTTTACTGGGTAAGTCGTAACAATATTAGTAATGAGAAAACAGATCTTTCACTGCTGTTGATGAATCATAAAAAAAACAAAGTCATACAAATAAAAATTATTGTAGATATAATTATTGAAGAAAATACTAAAGTGATACAAGTAGATATATTATTCTTTTTTGTTATACAGTAATAACATATTAATAATAATATGGACCTCAAATAATTAGATAATGAAAACATGATTTATCAATTATTAATAAATAAAAAATTATTCAATATATAAAGTTATAATTTATAAAAATAATTAATTAATTAAATGTATTATTTATTTTTTTAAAACATATTATCTAACTTTTATTTAATAAAAATATTCCTTGAATAAATCTTAATATGATTATTAATTAGTTTTAATTGTATGATTCATTAATATAATAATTATAGTGTTGCAAGTGTTATTTTAAAAATCCACTAGATTGCGTTTAGTATTTAAAATCGCACTAAGTATTTGTTTGTCAAATTACATTAAATTATTCGAAAATACACTAAATTTTCCATTAAAAATAAAATAAAAAATTACTAAAATTACCTCTACTTGTATGTTAAAAGGACAAGAGGTAAAAGTTTTTTTTTCTTTTATTGTGTTTACATACCTAATGATAAAATTAAAATTATTGAGGTTTATTTAAAAAGCAGTAGAAATAGCATAATAGAATATTATAGCTCTCCAGTTTTTACGTATCAGTAAACTAATTTTTCAGGAAGTGGGTAATAGATAATTCGGTTTGCCCGCATATCACTCACCACATCACTGGACTCCTGGTCCAAAGTGACATTTATGTGGTTCGAGTTATTTGTTGTGGTACACCACTTCACTAGTAGTGGGTCTCTATAATTTCTCATGATTATGGTTTTGTAAAAATAAAAATAAATATATTATAATTACAGTTCAGATTTATATTATCTTAAAACAGCTAAAATACAATGCTAATATTCTCTAAAACATACTACAAATATTCTCTTATATTCCCTTAAAAATTAGAAAAACATGCAAAAATAATCGATGCAAATCAATATAATGGGCTTTATATAGTATCTATATATTTTTAGATTCCGAGCGTAGCAAGGGAGCTATTGGTTTTACTAAGATGTTTATTTTTTTCTTTGTTCTAGTCTGTGGATAAATTTTTCCTAGTAAACTTGCTCCGATTTTTACGTGTAGCAACTTTTATGAAAGTTCAAGTTATCTAAATTGTACTTCAAACAGGTCATTTTTTGATTTTATATGCCATTTTTTAAATAAAAGCGTTTAAGTGAGAAAATACGTAGGAAAAAGTACAATTTCACGATTTCATTATTTTATAAAAACATGGACGTTTTCTACCAGAAAAAATGATTTATTCGAAATATCACAAGACACATTTTTTTTGTCTTTTTAATTTACTTTCTTACGGTATCATCGCCAAAACTTTTAAGCTTTAATCTTATTTTTAATGGTACAAGTCGTTTTTTGATTTTCAAATTAATTTTCATAATAATCGGGAAAAAAAAACGTATGAAAAACGTACAATTTCACGATATAATTATTTTACATTAATATGGAAAACGTTTCTTATTAGGAAAAGTGCATAAATCGCAAAATGAAACCTTGTTTGTTTTATTGTTTTTTTTTTTTTTTTTATAATTTTTGAAATTAAATTTAAACGAAAATCACAAAATAAATTACGGACCTTCAAATTATGTATTACCGAACTGCGCTCGGAATCGTCTTTCGTCAAGCAATGGTTTATCGTTGCTTACAGATATAAATGAAATAAACTTATATATCTTACCTTCCCAACTTGTTACCTACAATAGTGACCACTCCCATCCCCAGTATCAGCTCTTTTTTTTTATTATTGTTGTTTCCAAAGGTATTTGACATATATATATATATATAGAAATATTAGATTTGACTTGCTGAACTAGATTTTTTTTTTTAATTTACGGAAATGTTTTAGAGAATTAAGTGCCAAAAAATACGGTGTGATTCTTTAAATTTAAATTCAAATTTCGTTATCGTTTATTGAGATGAAAAGGTATTCACTAAATTGAATGGTCAGGAAAACATCAATTGTCTTCCGATAATTATAACCGCTCCTAATCTAGACAACTTCTTGTTATTCCATAAATTCCATCTGAGACAGGTTTAGTAGTGTCATCTTCCGTATTCGATATGCTTAAAAAATGGTATCAACTTAAAAAAATTCAAGGATTTGTGTTTGACACAACATCTTCGAATTCAAGCAGATTCAATGGAGACTGCAGTACTCTACTGGAACAACGACTTGAAAAAGATATACAAAGATATATATTTCACATACAGTCATCATAGTTTTAAGTTACTTCTTCAAGTTTCGATTGTTGAAAAAAAATTATATAATAAATAATAAAGTAAAAACAAATTTATTAAAATGGTGAACACTCGTAAATAAATATATATTATAAATAAAAAATGCATATATATATATTGCGAGGCATCCATTCATTTATTTATTTTTATTTCTATTTATACATTTTTTATTTATAAATATTTACTATACAATTATATGTCATCCGAACCGGATATTGCTATTTTTAAATGTTTTAAGAGTACGTGAAAAACTATAAACACAAAAAGTATATCTATATAGAACTCGAATGAAAAATTTAAAAAATAATTCGTCCCCAATAGACCAAGAAATGTTATTTGTTCGAATATGATTACAAAAAATCAACCCAGAGAAGACTATAAAGAATTTTTAGAATTTGTAATTATAACTCTTGGTATAACTCCACCCGGTGGGAAAAAAATTCAACAGCCTGGTGCGTAATATTCAGCAAGATGGATGGCTAAAGGGATTTATTGTTTAAAGATATTTTTATTAAGATCGGCACTCAAAGTCACAAAGACAGAATTTGTGTTTTTAGCATAAAAATGTATATAAATGTATAGTTTACGGCAACGAATGCTGGCGAGGTACCTTTGAATTAGACCCATACGTAGAGGTAGGGTTCTAGGGTTTAACCCGCCCCTCCAGAAATGTCTTCCTCCTCTCAAAATTTTTTTTTAAGTTTTTATATTGATAATTTGTACAGTTAATTTTAGTAAAATTAAAAAAAAAAGGACGGACATGGGTGCAGTTATTGTAGCCACTGTTGTAGGTGGGAAGTTAGGAAGACAGTAGAGGAGAAATTTAACGTCTGTACGCAACGATCGACATGGCATAAGGTTTATTTCACCTAACGCCTTTATTAAAATTATTTTAATAAATCTAGTAAACTTCCTTAATGTATGCCTAACTTCGTTAATGTCGTCATTATCATAAAAATCCAGGCACTATAATTATTATAATAATTTAGTTCGCACTGGAGCAATAGTGTTTATTAATTATTTCATATTTGTATACCTACTCATTTATTTTATTCTATAAAATTTTATATTTATTTATTTACTTATTTTAGTTGTATAACAGTGAAACCTAATTGTTAGTTTCACATTTACTATTTACTCAGGTTGTTTGACCTTTGACAGGATAAAAAAAAAAAATTGCGTTTTGGTATAATTTAGGCAAAAGGACAGCAAAAATTAAAACAAAAGCCACACTGCGACAGTGTTATCGTCGTTATCTCGATCGCCTGGTAAAAGATAACAAACATTTCGTTTTCGTTTTCGTTTTATTTTTCCGAACCGTCGAATTCGATCGTGTTTTATGTTTCGACATGTTGAAAATTAATACCTTTAGATCGGTTTTTGTGTCTGCGATGCGGTATGGTCAGTTTTATAGTAGAATTACATCACCTTGTTGCCTAGAAAATACGATGGTACTGTACTCGAAACGGTTATCATCTACGTTTTCACAAGAGTTTATTGAGGGTGACAATATTTATTCTTGTTACAGTCGCATTTCTGTCCGGCAATATGCCAAAAACAAGGACAAGAAAACCAATAAAGGTACATCTTAAAATTAAATCTGGGTCGAAATTCTAGTATTTGTTGTACCCAACAATCAATGGCGCCAAACCCTATGTTAAAGGTTAACAATTAAATTATCTTGCCACTTTATTTTTGATCAAAGTTTGGTTACCAAACCTAATAAATACATCATTACAGAAATAAAAACTATAATTTTGGATATAAAATGATCAGTATTTGGTTATTGGGCCTCTTGAAATATATTTCGCCTGACTACATTTTTAGGACTTCAGCGCCACTAAGAACAATTATTGTTCACCTATGTATATGATTATGATAAAAACTTCTCGATGATTATTTTTAACTTGTACCAATTATTCCATTTAGTTTTCTACCTATCTTTTAACGTTTACTGGTAATAGATATGTTTCACACTTTCTTGCGTGTGGACTTTACAGGATATGTAGTTAACTAAATAAATAAATAGGTATATGTAAGTTTTTGTTATCTCTTTAATGTTTTTAATAATATAAATTATTTTTGATATTTTGGTAATTAAAAATTAACAAGAAAACGACTTTTAAATTCAGATATATACATTTATATTTTTATGCTTACAATTACATATTTTTAATTAATTTTTATTGTTTAGGTAATAAAAAAGTGTCCATCGATGAAAACCTATTAGCTGAACACGTGAAATATAATGCCATGAAGTCTGAAATGGAAAAAGCTGTTGTTGGATTAAAAAACAACTACATTAAAAATCTATCATTAAGGTCTTCCACAGGTACCATATAATTATTTACAATCAATTTACCATAATATATATTATACATACCTACCACCATTTTGTATTTTATCAAAATTATAACACAAAATTTATATTTTGAGTTTACCCATGCTTATTGTTTTTTATTGAATATACTTTAAAAGTTTTAATGCTACATCCTATATTTACCAACATAGTATCTCCTAAAAAGAAAAACTGTGTTTAAGCTAATACATGTTTTTTTGTATGTTCAATGTTTATCTTGTTAACACAATTTGTACTTGTAAAATTAGATATGAATCATGAATCAAAGTGGTGATTAAATCTTCTATTTTAAGTGGTGATGATTTCTTCAATTGTTGGTAAAAATTTAAAGGTTTGAATTTAAAATTGTGATAAATCATTTTTGAGATTTTCTGAAAATACATCTTTGAAAATTATAAAATATAATAATATAAGTATTCAAGATAAGATAGAATATTACAACATATATATATATATATATATATGTATACTGCCCTCACAAGTAAAAACGCTGTAAGTCATTAGACACTGTTTTTATGTTTTGGATTTTCTAAAAATTTATAAAACCTCTTACATTTTGCTTATCAAATAGATTTTCATACGGTATTTTACCTGATAAATGCAATAGAATAAAAACAAATAAATTTTGAAGTACTTAATATTTTACATTGTTTCTTAGTATAATTGGTATATAGAACTGTACTGAATAGATTCGTGAATAGAATTCATGGGTAATCATATAAATAATTAACAAATAATTGATATTGTATCATTTATAAAGTTTCTATATTATTATATAAACTTTTATTATATTTTTATGATTTATTGGTTATAATATTATGTTATTATAAGTAAAATGATAATCTGTACTAAGTAATGCCATAAATCTTTATTTTTATTATATATCTACTAAGCCAAAATGCTTCATCTTCGTTAATATACACTGCATTTTTGCTTAACATGGTTATTATACAGCATTTTCACTTAGTAAAAATGCATTTTTGACCATTTAGGGCATTTTGTCAAAACCAATATTGCTAATAGCCGTTTTATAGATTAATATTTCAGACATGTGGCATATTGATCTAAAATGTCTGAATTTTACCATTTTGATGTTTATAACTCATTTTTCAATTTTTGGACTAACAGCGTTTTTGCTTAGGAGGGCAGTATATATATATATATATATATATATATATATACATATATCTGTATATACTTTATATATTATAACTAATTAAATCTCAACAACTTTATTATTACAATTATTATTTTTGCTTATTAGTTGTTATATAGTACTATATACGCAGAATCTAATTTTTCACATGTCATGTTTATTTACAATTTATGATAAAATACATTCAGTTTTAATATGAAATGAAAATCAAAAGAAACTACTTATGTACAAATTAATTGATACTATTCAATGTGAAAAATTGATAGGTATTAAAATATCAAGTCATTATATAATTACAGTATTACCTTAATGTCACCTATTAATAAATTTATTCTTTACAAAATAAACATTTTGTTTAGTTTATGTTATGTGTATATAAACATTAGATTTATAAAAAACTAATTTAATTTTAAGTTTTATTGTTATTTGTTTAAAGCAAATATTCATAGATATAAATTAGAATTTATATTTTGCGTTTCAATGTTGGTAAATTAGAAAATGTTATTAAAACTTATTATTATCTGCCTCATTAAGTTTTACCAACATCAAATCAGTTATATGAATATGAATTTAATATCTGGAGATTTGTATGAGTATTTCTTCAAAGCATATAAATGAATAATTTAAATCTATCTATAAAATATTATGTATTAATGTATAATATTTTTAGGAACATTGGAATCATTATCAGTAAAGTTTGATGGCGATGAATATGTTATTCAAGACTTAGCACAAGTTGTGCGAAAAAATCCAAAAACAATAGTTTTAAATATGACATCATTTCCACTAGCAATCCCTGCCGTTTTGGAATCATTAAAAGCTTCTGGTATGAATTTAAATCCTCAACAAGATAAAACTACTATTTTTATACCAATACCTAAGTAAAGTATAATAACTGCAACATTTTTAATAAATAATACATGTTAAATACAAATTTTTTATTACAGAGTAACTAAAGATCACCGAGAAAATTTAATTAAAGGCGCAAAATCACTTTTTATCAAATGTAAAGACAATATTAAGGAAATACAAAACAAAAATATAAAATTATTAAAAGACAATGATACATTGGCAATAGATTTAGTTCACAATTTACAAGACCAGGTATTCTAAAAATTGTAAAAGAAGTTTTTATGTTAGTAGTTATTTAATATATTTGTAGGTTTATAACAGTACTGAATTTTTAACTATTGAACATATTTACTACATTACAAATACAGTAAAACCTCGTTAATATAAATTAATGAAAAGATTAACAAAATGCAATAAAGGTCGATATTATGATTAAATATTGCATTAAATTCAGAAATAATAATCATTATTTATTATTTATTAATATTCATAATTGTATCCAAAAGACTATTTAAAAAACCATTTATTTATGAGACTTATTTTATTTTTGCCAATAATTTAGCATAATTAGGCGGTATCCCGCCTAATATGTATTTAAAGTGTTTTAAACGGGTTACTAGACAGAATAAATAAGAAAAAGATTTCATAGTGTTACGTGTTATTTATTATATAATAACACAGATCAAATAAAAACATCAATATACATATTCCATTACTTTATATTAACTTCATATAGATTTACAAAAAACGAATGACATATTTTTAATTTTTTTTTTTTTTATATTAAAAATAGTCTTAATGGTTGGTGGTTGCAATAAATTATTTTTATAATTATTCAATAAGAAGGTTTCCATCCTACCTAAATATAGACACATGTTTTGTATCAGTTGCAGTTTGTGCTTGTCTCAATGAATATATTTATTGTACAGTACTTGCGAATGAAGAAAGTGGTGCAGAGTGGTACCATTAGTTCATCATTCTTTGGACCATTTGGTTCATCGTTAACTGTAGCCTAGTAAATAATTTCTTCAACATTGTTATTAATTGATTGTCAATGGATGTGTAATATTTTTATTGATGTATTAAATGGGATTTTTTCAACCGTAAAAGGTACTAGAGGCCAGAAAAGAGCGTATTAAGCGGGAGCTTATTATGCGTGTTTTATTTTTTCAATGTTACAAGATCTAAGGTACCTGGAATCGAATAAAATCCACGTATTGAGTGGGACGGCGTATTCATTGGTAGTGTCTTAACAAGGTTTTAATATATAATATTTAAAAGTTGGTATTTTTAAGTAATAGAAACCAATGCATATTAAGTATAATTTTATATACATTCACAAGTCTCCTAAAAATCATAATTGATTGCATTAAACATTTAAATAATTTTTGTATACTCTTAGTGTCGTTCTCATCAATGGAAATGTTGATCTTTATGTAGAGTTTATAAGATAACTGACTAATCACTATTAGTTATTGACCATAAACTCAGTTTAAAAATCAAATAAACACCTTAGTTTACAATGGTGAAGTGGCTTTTAGATAGTGCAAATAATGGTGACAGGCTTTCAGTGTAATAGGTCCAAAATGACTTTGATAATTCCAAGTAAAGCAATAACTGCTACATAATTTGATGTAACTATAATGCTAGTATCTTTTAGATATGGAAAAAATAACAATAAAAGAACTTATCTGGGCCAATAAAATTCTTGGCAAAAAAAAAAAAATGAGTCCCATAAATAAATGGTTTTTTTGATGGTCTTTTTGGACACAATTATGAATATTAATAATTAATAATAAATGATAAATAATGATTATTGTTTTTGAATTTAATGCAATATTTATAATCATAATATCGACCTTTATTGTATTTTGTTAATCTTTTCATTAATTTATATTATATTGAATGATAATTATTACTATTCATTAATTTGATTAGGTTTTTTTGAAAACAGTTTAAAAACACTACTGAATTGGATATTAACAAATCTTTAGGATTTGAAATTTAAGTACCTTTATTTTTAAATTGGTTTAATACCTATTTTCATTAACTTTATATTATGCTCATTTAAATAAATCTATACCCGAATCTTCAATAAACTTGTTCAAATTGTTGAAGGATGTTCATATCCTCATAATTCTAGAACATCGTAATTCTTTCTAATGTATGCCCATACAAATATTTTAGAATACATTTTCGAAACATATTAGGCATTCAATTGAGTTTAATCTAAATTCTTTAAGCTAATGAAATATACATTTTAACAATTTACTATTCGATTTTGAATAAGTTTGTTGATGGTTATATGGTGTATAATTTTAAATAAAAACATAATATGTCTGTATAGTATAGAATAAAAAATAAAACCAAAACTTCTAAACAGTTTTGTATTTTGAATATCTGTACGTTTCTTAAAAAATATTAGTAAGTGATGGTAAAATAAAACAAATATTTATTTGTCTATAGACAAAAGTGTGGACAACTGAATTTTTTTATTATTCTTAGATTTTGAATTTAAATTGTGCTATTATATTAATTATATACGTTCTACTTGAAGTGGCCTTTTGAATTCTCAGCCATTCTGTTTAAAATGTCGTTCATTCTATACTTTATAAATTAGGTAAATATAAAGGTAATACAATCATAGGTATTTTTACTACAAACTTACTTTTATATTAATCATATTTGTAAAATCTGTTTAATATTTTCTTATTAATATACCAATTTATAATTGGTTGGGTGTTTATATTAATTCAAATAAAAATGAATGATTCTATTTTACTTTTTAAATTTGTATGATGCTAGTGTTAATACTATTAAAGATATTATTATTTATACATTACATTTTATTCAAATTTTACTTGGGTGGTTTTATTTAAATAACAATAACAGTTGATTTTTTTTTCCCAGATTACTGCACTAGCAGACAAATATGTACTGGAAGCACAACGAATAATGGAAGATAAACAAAATGAACTAAAAGGTGATTCATAAGGTTTGTAAATAATATATTTGACGATGATATATTATATCAATAGGGTTTCCAGAGGTGGTTCATAAAATACCTGTGGCCTCTGTAAAATGATTACTATCCATTTAGTATATTTATGTTATACTCACTTGATATTATAGAGTGAAAACCAGTTTTTTTAATACATAACCAGTCAGTGTATGAATCATCTATAGATATCAGTCTGTAAGACTATAATACTGTACAATTTTGTTTATTAAAAAATTATAAATAATTTTTTTTTTCTTTTATCCCTGACAACAAGATATTTGTAACATACAAAACCTTTTTCATCTCTATCTATATAACATACTTATATATTTATTATATTTATTGTTACAGTATACTTTATTCTTTACATTTGAGTACAAAATAATTTAGCAATGATAGAAACAAACTTACAAACATATTATTTTTTTTAACCTTTTCAGCTTGTAATTGATTATTTTTAAGTACTTATCGTACATTTCATTACAAATAAAATTTGATTAAATAGAATACATTTTTGTAGATAACAAAATAGCTATTTTGAATACCATTATGATTAATGATAGGTATATTCAAAAATATTTTAAATTTAATGACATTTGCCATTTTTTGTACTATTTTTCGATTTATATGGACAGAATATTTTTTGCTCCATAAAACAAAGCATAACTTCTTGTAAAAAAAACTATGATAACATTGTAATTTATTTGGTAGTTAAAATGTATACAATTTTCAATTGAAGTTTATTTTAAAACATGTTTAACTGGTACTTTGTTCAAATTCTTCGTTTTTTGTTATCAATGATTTAAGGCTGCATACATTTATATATTCAATTACCTTAATTTCTCATCTAAACCAGTGGCATATTCATCATATGAAGTACATCGGCTCTTTTTTTATTAAATTTTATATTAAATTAAATATAAAATAATATTATATCATATTAGTACAATTCACAATATTTTATATGTACCTAAGTAAAATGTGTGATGTACCTAATGTTAAATTAAGTAAATAGTATAGTAGTTTTCTTGGTAATTTTTTTTCCATTGAATATTGTGCACAATATTTACTGGTTTCCCGATTAAAAAACAAATTATTTAATGTCGTATCTAAATACATATTATATTATACAGGTGTCAGGTACTCGTATAGTTATTACAATTTGTACTTGTTTATTTTTTGTTTTACTTAGGTATTTGCAAAAATATTTATATTACTTTTACAAGATTGTATATTTTGTATATCTATTTTTAAATGGATACAGTTTAAAAGTAGGTTGGTTTCTTTTTACAAGACTGATTAATGGACTTTCCGTCTTATGGGAACATGAATACAAATAAGGGCGTGATCTCTTTACGTTTTAAAATAAAACCCATAATATTAAATGTCGCTGATTTAACCGAACGATGTCTCGATAGGTTGACGATTTGAATACTGTGCGATTCCTAATCAATTGTTATTGTTTTACCAACTATACACCTACATATTATTCGTATTTATATTTTAATTCATTTAATACGCTATAGAGTAAGATAGGTATATAGGTATTTATTACGCCGGTAATCCTTGAAGGTCTCAGTCGTTCACATGGATAAAATAATATTGGGGAGCGGGCAGGTGCTACGGACGAGAGATATCATCGTCATTGAACCCCAACTTGTGCTCGCAGACCGCAGTATAATATTATCATTCGTGTGGCGTGTCGTACGTACTAAAGAAAAAAAAAAATCGTAAAATAATCGTATGTGTACCAAGTTCGTGTATATTTTGTGTAAACGTCCGAAAACGAGGGCCGAACCTATTGAACTCTGCATGATATGCCTAGGTGCCTGTACCTATTATTAGTAAGTACAGTAAAATTTCCGTCATGACACAATGTAGGTACCTACTTAATAATAGTGTTGGATAGGTGTACTCATAGAGCTATAAACATTTATTATGAGGTCTATGGGTGTACCTACTTCCTAGGAGAGTGCTATATTATAATACGTAGGTAGGTAAAATAATTCCTTAACATTTATTTTTGATAATAGTTTAATTTTATTCGTGTTTTGTTTTCAACAACCGTGAACATTAAATACACAATTAATAATCTACTAATATGCATTGCATATTTTACTTCTTTAAGAATATAGAATAAACGCCTGTTCATGACAAATCTTGGCAATTTAACGGGGATTTTTTCGGTACATTTACACCCGACCATAGGTGCTTTTTATATTAGATTGCAGAAGTAAATAATCAAGATAAGTAGAATGAAAGACCTAGCAGACGTACAAAATCTATTTAAAATGTAATTTAACTGAATAAAGTGCATCATAAATAAGTAAAAAGTATACAAAAGTAAATGAAGTAATATAAATTTATTTAAAGAAAGTGTAGGTACATATTAAATAGTCCAATTTTTTTTGTTTTTTGTAAATATATTGCTTAACACCCTCCCTTCGAAAAAATACAAATAAAATGGTACACGGATAGAAATTAGACCTGATCTAAAAATGTTTATACCAAATTATCGTAATTTATTTTGGTGCACAAAAAGTAGGAATAACATAATTTTTGTCCGTTTGGACTTAACGGTAGGTATATGCGCAATATCCATCATCGAGAAACCTTTAGAAAAAAAAAGAAAAAAAGAAAAATACTGTTATATTCTAATATGCGTGTGCATTTTCAAGTATATCGGCAACTATACTTATTGCTGTATACCCAGTTTATAAGTAGGTTGTGAGTGTAATTAAATATAATATTATTCATGATTTTTCTGTAAAACACGTTATATTATGTATTTTCTGTTGTATCCGAAGATCTCCCAAAGGTAAATGTAAATCATCGTGTGTATCCCATGGGTACCCACATCATACGAGTTTCGGACAAACGAGTAAACCGATTAGCCGCCAACGTATACATGTATATACCCGTGTATAATATATTGTTATAATGTACTAATAAGTAATATTTTTTACAAAACCGATTTTAAATTTTTATCAGGTACCTCAACGACTGCAATAATAATAATAATAATAATAATATTATTTGGCGCCTCAATAATATTATAACGAAACCGTCTGCATAATCGGTGAAATTCGCGCGTGTACCTATTTGGCTATTGCCAAATTGCCACGGAGTGCAGCCTACTCGTGTACAGGTTACGGAGTGCGATTCCTGCAATAAATCGTTTTCGCAGTGCACACCTAGTCGTTTTCACCTCTGGTGATTTTTTAGCATTTCCACGTGCAGTAGGTACCTATAGGTCATTGCTGAATGGAAAAATAAAAAATATATATATATATCTATCTACGATGTATACAGGTATACGTAGGTACTCGGATCGTTGACAATGACGTGCGAATTTCAATTTTCCCTGCATTTAACCTGTTGTAAACCTATATTATTAGAATGGTGATATGCAGATTTGTAAGCTAAAATACCGATACCCAACACCGTAGTACAACTATTGTAGTTATTCTACCGATCTACCGGTTATCGGTTATGATGCTACCTATTCGATCGTACCACCTATAATAGTATTATAAATTATAACTTTAAATATTTTTATTGTTACAACATTAATTAGGTATATTATAATATTGCTATATCTACCTATACTGTGCGGTCTATTTCAATACATATTATAATAATATTATAGGTGTACGTATAGTTACTTAATGCAGTGATTTTAACCGCGTGAGTTCGACTTTTTGGCTATTTTTTTGATATTATTTTTGCAAGTACAAAAACATTTGCGTATATTCGATAACGGCCGAACATGTACCAAATCTAATATACGTGTATCTATAGGTGTATCCTTCAATCCTCGGCTTTGTTAGAGCTCGTCGCTCCTCCGTAGAAAAGGATTTGTTATCGATAATGGTAATTATAATAATATTTATAGTTATTACGTAATAGGTAACGACTGGTTTTCCTGTTATATATCATTTTAATATGTTTCAGTGGCGTATTTACTGTTTTTTACATATCTGATGAATGATAAAAAAAATTTAAAAAAAATGTATTTTGTTATTTTTTAATTGATTTTTTAGCATAAATCTAGTTTAGCGCCTAGGCGATTTTTTCAGTTTTTTTTTCAATAAAGTATACGTCAGTTATAGTATAGTTTTACGTATACATTAGGAATATAAAAAACAATAAAGGGAACTTGTGATAATGAACTCATAATTAACTTATGAGGGAAAACTTCATAAAGTTCGGGTTTTCCGTTTCGTGTATTTCTTAGCTGGAATTTAACATTTTCAATTTTTTTTTTTCAAAATGTGTGTTTTTTAATGCTTAATCCATTGGTATAATCAAAACTTACTTAACATACTTACTTTTATATTTTTAAGCATTTTTGGAATTCATCCAAAATATAGTAAAAAATTGATATTTTTTTCATTATTATTTGTAATTATTGAGACATTGATATTAAAGTTTTTTATTGAAGTCAGAATAAGGCTATCTTGCTTAGTTTTAGAGTTGCAAACGTTCAAACAAGAAGTGTTACGCTACATTTGCTCTGTCTGTTTTAATCGAAAATAATTCTCGATTTTTTGTGTAAAACCACGTCGGGTTGGTAACAGGAAACATTGAAAAAACATATTTTAGGTGCACTCAGAAACCTGGTGAGATAGATCGATTTTCGATTAAAATTGTCCAAATGAGTGTAGCGTAATAAAGTTTATGAAGTTTTCCTCATAGCTTCAAAACGAAGTTCGTCCGCCTTGATTGTTTTTATATTCTTAATGTACGCGTAAAACCACACATTTTGAAAAAGAAAACTAAAAAATCGCGTGTGTACTAAACTAGATTTGTTCCAATTTTTTATTATCATTAGAAAATCAGGTTTTTTTTTATGTTTAAATGCTTATATATCAGTGATATCTATCAGCATATCTAATTACTAATTAGCCCCACTAAATAATCGCTATGCTACTGAATATAATATATATATTTTTTTTAAATACCTACCAATTGAACTACAAAAATTCTCGAGTACAAATCGCCTCTGAATTATATCATAATTCGATAAGAATTGTTGCAGGAGTAGTCCAATAATATCCTAGTTATTATACCGATTTTGCTCAAATTTGAATTAGCCACTATGCCATCTAGTATAGATGTAATATAGATGATAAGCTACCTAAATAGACACTTGTCTATTAAACATTTCGAAGTTCAAGTTTTAGGTAGGTTCCACAGACATATTAGTAACCGTATAAACCTTTTTTTTTTTTTTATTGGAGACGTTGAGTTAGTAAAAATAAGATAAACAATATATATGATACAGACTAAAAATGTTTACTTAATCTAATGTTACAAAGAACAAAAAAAAGAAAGAGATATAAATTAATGAAATTTCGGGTGGTTGAATTTGGTCAAATTATCCTTAGAATACAAATTTTGAATTGATTTTGGTACGAAAATGATTGATATTTAAACTAAGCGTCCTACAAAACTCAATATTATAATTTAGATAGCTCTTTACTTCCGAAATTTGTATTATATTTAGTTGCAATTATATTGAAATTTTTCTTAAATTTAGTGTTGTAAGTATGTGGGCATTTTGGCAGATATTTCTATGTATAAAAGATAGGTGATCGCAGTAAATTTAGCTTATAAAGTTTACCTTAGTCCGAAGTAAGTACCAATACTTAAGTCCTAAATCATTCAAATATCTACCGATAAATGTAAAATAATGAAAGAATCACATTTTAAGTTATTCATAGGCTAATAATATAACCGTTATATAGCTTTATGAGGAGGTTGTTAAACTATACAAATTGAGAAATAAATATAAAATCTGCAATCGTACATTATAGATTGTATTTCATAGTAATATGTTATAACTTAGAGGTTATAGCATTATAATAAATTAAAACTGCAGTTTTGAAGTTTTGTAATGAAATTAAAATATTGTCGTTATCAATAATATTACGAGTGTTGAAAGATAACGATTTTCCAAATCCCGAACGAAAAGTCCGAGGACAAAAAGCCCGAGTAAATTTTTACATTCTACAATAATAATAATAATTCAAAATAAGTTACGTTTTGAAAAATAATCAGTATAAATATTGATCACTTTATAATAATAAAAATAATAACAATTTTTAACTTATTATTAGAAGTTACTAAAGTAACCGGACATTTTTTAGGAATTTTATGTGGACATCTCTATTGCATATTCCAAACAAGTTTATGATAAACCGTAGGTATATGCATATCCATTAAGTACAAATTTTTTTTTTTTATTATGGTATAAATATAGTTTAAAAATAATAATTGATTTATTAGATGTAGATTTATCTAAATTGTGTGTAAAAGTAATAATAATAAGATCACTTTTTGTCCGACAGTAAAAATGTACTCGGTATTTTTGTCAGACAATAAAGAAAATGAGTCTGGACTTTTTGTCCAACGTTTTTTATCCCCGGACTTTTTGACCGATTACACGATTTTACGTGTTCCAAAGTTCTACCAGTAATAACGAATTTTCCAAACTGGTGAGAAACTTGCACCGTGTTGGTGGAAATTGTTCGATAAACGAAGTCGGAAAGTTAGAAAACGCTATAATAGTTGTTCGCGCGTGTATAATAACAATATTGATAGCCGCGGTATGTATCGACTACGGATGTTTCTATATCCGCGGTATCGAAATAGACATATTGATAATAATAATATTACCAAGTACATAATATTATGATGAATTATATCTACCTACTTTTGTTAATCCACCTTGATTCCTAATATCTTGATACTCAGGACTTTGTGTATCGATCGATTGCTTTCAATTGTCAATACCTACCCACCGCCATTGATGCGGGCTTAAAAAAAAACCGTCCGTCTTTGGTTTTTGTGGCTGGGCCATACAGAAACGCTTGAAAATTTAATAGGAGGTTCATTATAAGTTGTACTTAGTGGACAAAAAGACGAATTTGAGTTAAATGTAGTATTTTTGATTGTACGAATTATAATATCAAATTTTGATGAAAGTTGTAAGTATTACGGCCATTTAAAACATGTGTTACTGAATTCCGCTTTTTGTTAGCAACGATATGAATTAAATTTCTCTCTATATCCTATCTTTCCAACTTCTCACCTACTATATCGTGCGAAATATGTCAGTATTTATTTTTCTTGAGGGGTCGACTTTCCTTAATATCGCCTCAAAGTGAGAGTATTACTTATATAAAATATAATATTTTGTTTCAATAATTTACAACTTATTTTCCAGTGCATACAGAAAACTTTAAAATTGTCCCAACTGAATTTTCGTTCATAATGTACATTACATGTAAAATTGAATTATATAATAATTTCTTTACTACTACTACTGCTATCACTGCAAATTCATTGAAATAATAAATTTTAATGTCGACTATATTATTACAATATTACCTACTATTATATTATGTAAATGTAGGATAGGATTTAATAATAGTACCTACATAGAGTTTATTCGTTTATAATACTTGTACAATATAATTATTATATTAGTAGGTATAATTTTTGCTATAGTACAATGATAATAAGAAATATTTATCTCGGTTATATATTATACCTACCTTAACCTATCTTTATTATAATAATATGCTATATAAATTATAAGTACTGTTGAAAACGAATTTTAAATTTTAATTGTACGCGAACAGATTGCAATTTGCAGGTACTTGTCTATCAATAATATTGATGACACTAAAGTGTAATCCGATTACCCATAATAACTAATAGCTGTTATGAGTTAGAAAAATGCGCAAATTGTTTGTATATTATATACGTATATAATTGAAAAATTAACGCAATGGTGTGAAAATGTAATAGCTATAAACTTATAATAATCATGATTTATGAATAATTCATAGAATCTTCGTCTGTTATACGCATAACTCGACAATTAGAACTTAAAATCAAGATTCAGAAAAGTAATTTTTTTTCAATGATTCAAGCTTTTTTCTCTTAACATAGCTGAAATGGTATATAATTTCAAGATAAAATTTTAAATAAATATTCATAGTTGTTGTATTTTTAAGCCAATGGGGTGGGAGATAGTTTAACCCCTAACCACTATCTTTGTGTACGCTAGTTTAATTGGATTAAATATCAAATTACAGTCGTTTACCTATAAAATCGCACGGTATGTAGTTAATGAAAACATTTTTGTCTTTTGTTTTATGAAATATTGTTTCCGTATTAAATTTCGTTTAATTGGTAGGTAACTCCTAAAAAAAGTTTTTATTGTTTTTTTTTTTTTTTTTAATGAGAACATAGGAATAATTTGGAGTATATTATTTTCTTTGTTATATAACCGACGTATCACTTATATAAAATATATCTACCTGACATGAATATCCGAGAGGAGAGGGCGGAACAAGACGGAACATTTGCCCTTCTTCTTGAAAAAATTTTATCAACTAATAATTTTAATAAATTTAAATTTGAACATAAACAAATGTAAATAAATAAATACAGTTTAGCAAAATGTTGAGAATTTCTTATATTTTGCTGTTTTTATTGCATTTAGAACAGTTGTACCTATCAATTTTTTAAGCATATTTGCAACACTATAAAAAACATTTAATTCACATAAATTGAAATAAAAATAAGCAAGAAAATTATGTGTTTTTTTTTTTGTATGAAGTTTGTCAAAATCTGAATTTTAAACGCTCATCAACAAAAAACCATGCCTACGTTTAGACGTAAATATGTACAGGGGAGATGGGGCAAAAATACATAGGGGAATCGGCTGATGGTTCGCTTACGTCTTTGATGGTTGTTGTTTAATTTGAAAACGATTCCTTTTCAAAAATGAACATGTATAATGACCGAAACATTTTGGATTAGGTATTGCCTATGTTACCGGCAAATAATTGATGAA